TTCTCAATGCCAATGAGAAAGGAACAACAGCTGCAGAGAGACATTGGATAATAGAAAAAACTACAGAATTAAATCAACCTATATACTTTAAGGATGTGCTGACCTCAGAATGGAAACCAGGGTATGTGTTACGTTGGGGACGAGGTTTTGCTTTTATTTCTACAGGAGAAGATAAGCTGTGGGTACCATCAAAATTGATAAAGGTTCGATTTGAACAAGAGAGACCTCTTAATTAGAGGAGGTGATAGTTCATTAACTATCGTAAACATCCAATTTAAACTAACTTACACCAGTAACACATGCCTTTTCATTTAATCAGATAACTTGTCAAAAAGGAACATCCCCAAAAAACCTTGGGGAAAGGTTTTTGTTTTTGTCTTTTAGGAGAATGAAGGTTAAGGAATTTGAAGAACACTGGACAAATGAGACAACTGAAGAAAAGGAACAAATCATCTATCCTAAGAAACAGAGTGAAATGGCGTATGGGTATGTTATCTAAAAAAAAATTTTATGTCTTCCTAAATGTTTGTTTCTGCTTTTCTTTAAAGATTTAACACTATTTAACTTCTAATAGTCCCAGTTCAATTAAAATTTAAAGCTGACTTTGGAGTTGGAGAATGGCTCTCTCCTTCTTTAAACTCAAGCATGTTGTTAAAAGGAAAATGCAAACTCCCTGTATCATGCCAGAGGAAAAGAGCCATCTTCTGCTATGGGACAGGAGAAAAGTCAAATTAATTAAGGGACTATTCTATTACGAATCTCAACTCTTTGATTCTATTCTGATTCTTTAAACTTTTCTTAAAGTATGAATTTTATATCAAAGTTTACAAGATCAATATATATAGATATATATACATTTTAAACTTTGTTAAGATATAAATGGTCATATAGAGTACTAACTAATTCTAAAAAGTCGCATATATAGTCTTTGTGTTCGAGTCTCTTATCAGTTTTTTGCAGGAAATCACGGTTAGGCCTAACATCAACTGAAGTCTCCAGGAAGAAGATGGGGCCCCACAACAACAACAATTCCACGTGGACAATAATAACATCACTAAGCTGACAAACATCATCTACAGATCAGCTTTGAACTACAAAGTGCTCAGAGCAATTTTGAGAAGAGCTAGCTGAGATGATCCAGTCTCAAAGACTACTTGAATAAGGATTTGAGATAAACCCTGAATTTTGGCATTATACACAGACTGGATAACGAAGGATATATTTACCTTTCCTAGAATTTGACAATTAACCTAAAATTTTTCTTTCAGGATAAAGATACCTTCGCCCATACCCAGCAGGAAGCAATTTCAAGAATACGACGCCCACATTCCCAAAGAGGTGGTGTGGGGCGGTTGGTTTTTTTTGGTCTTTTAATGGTTTTTGGGTCTGGGATAATTTTCATTGATTAGGGGGGTTGGTTACAAGTTGTTGTCAAGGGTTAGGAAAAAGGCTAAGCAAAGGAGATTAGATTTAAGGTTCTTATTAAAAAAAAAAAGAAAGAAAGAAAAGAAAAATGTAAATACTTTACATTGGATTGGATTGTTTTATATTGTATACGAATTATATATATTGAAATTGATATTGTTAGAAAATGTTATATATATTTTTCTAATTGTACCATTCATCTAACAATGTAATGCAATTTTCTGATCCTTGAATGTTATTACCAACTATTAGGATATAAAGAAATGAAAGTTAGTAGTTAGATATTATAATAGAACTTGTAGTTATATTAGGTATGTTTTCAAGATTGAGTAGATATATTTTAGATAGACAGGTTATCTTCAAACCCTTCAGAGATCTACAGAATATGGCATTTAAAATGTTTTAATAACTTAGAAAATTTTTCTTTTTTGTTATGACTATGAGACATGTCGGCTCCTGGCAGTACCAATCTACTTCAGAGAAAATATGGGCATTGAAGAAACTGCATATGGAGTTAACTTTCATTGTGGCAAAAGTTAGCCACTGGACAACAAAGTATCCTCGAATCAACAGGACAAAATGGACAAACAGGACATAAAACAAAGGATTACTGATTCTTGCCAAAACAAGTGTGGTTATGGCTTTATCAAAAGGCATCTTCAGAGGCCAGGACAAAATGGCACCATCCCTGAAGTGGCCTTCGCAATTCGAAAAAGGTACAGTGCCCTTTTCTTCGAAGGCAGCTGAACAGGCAGTGGGCCGATGGCCTCTGATGTGCAATGGAACAGTAGCTGAAACAGTTATTCTTGAAGAGTAACTAAGCTCACGCCTCTCAATAGTAGACTGGCATTTGATGGAGGGATATGGAGAAGAATGGGATGCTGAGATGAAGCCATATATACACAGCCAAGAAGAATGGACAGCTGAATTAAAAAACCATCAACAATTTCCAGAATTTAAAATCCTGAATCATGACATGACACTAGTGGAATTCAGGTGTTTCTGGTACTGGTACATGGACTACTCTCACTCAATGTGAGGTTGAACTGTTGACCTTGTGTACATCCTACTTCACAAATGAGTCTGTCAGATATGCTAAGCCTATAGGCTGAAGATGATGCCCCAGCACTTCGGAGAAACCTCAGGTGACTGTCCAGACAGCTGTCTGTTTCTGTCAACTCACAAATTTTTTGGAGGTTGCTTATGTGCACTTCCTGTTTTTATTTTTGTTAGCTAATATTATTTCCTTCTTGGGTCTCTGAGGGAGTTGAAGATTAGTTAGTTATAGTTGAAGGTTAGTTAGTTATAGTTGAAGATTAATTAGGATACATTTTGGACTTACCAAAATAGGATAGATAATGAAATTATTTTCTCTGAATTTGTCAAATACAAATGGACTAGACATTGTTTAGGTATTTATTACTTGTATATATTGTATATAGTTATTGTCCTTTTGTATATAGTTTTTCTTATATTAGTTATAAGCTTTTTCTTTTTTTCCTTTTTATTAAAATAGAAAAGGGGAAATATGGTGATATTTTATTTGTATTAAAATGTTATTTGTATGTTAATAAATAAAGTTGCCCGGGGGTCAGAGCTATTAGCAAGCCATAGGAAAGCAGGGCAGTGGTAGTGTACGCTTGTAATTCCAGCACTTAGTAGGCAGAGCTGGGTAAGTCTCTGTGTGTTCAGGGATACAGCCATTATTGGATACACATGCCTTTAATCTTAATACCAATCATGGAAAACCTGGAGGCCTATACAGACAGGCTGTGAGGAGGCGGTCATGTGGTTGAGTTTACAACCAATGAGAAGGCAGGACAGGAACTCTATATAAAGACTTTAACACAGGGGTAGCTCTGGTTCGGAGAGGTAGGACCACTGCAGGAGGAAGGGTAAGGTTTTGGCTCTTGGCTCTGACCTCTTGGCTTTCTTCTTTGCATTGGTTCTGTGTTTATTGTTTGATGGGAAGGTTGGATACATCTACAGGGATGTGTGTAACAACATCAGCAAACACTACTGTACAGTTCTATATTTGAACACATTTGTATTCTTCCCAGATAATCACACTAAACTTTATTGTCTGCTTTTCTCATTTGGCAGGTGTGCAGTAGTGTACACTGTGGTCTTAGAGGCTCATGGAATTACAGTTTTCATCTTATTTCCCAGATACCTTCCTTGGGACAGAAGTGAAACTAGAACACACGGTGAGAGTGGCTGTAGCCTGGTGCTGATGAAGACCCCGTGGGACACGGTGCTTCTGTCCCGGAAGTAGCCTCTCTTTACTCTCCTAGTGGAGACAATGGAGGCTGAAGGTGGTAGGGCACACCATGTGCTGTGAGGCACACTCTTGGCTGAGCCTATGGGAAAGCTGTGGAAGCTTGCTCTCCTACCTTGACCCAAGGGTCACCTAACCAGGACAGTTGGGCTCCTCTGCTTCATACACTGGTCTCAGCAGCTTCAGCCTCTACCTCTGCCTGATTCACCATAGCTCCCTGCAACCCAAGCAGTCTCTACTTCTACATTTCTATTTAATTCTGGTCTTCCCCACTCCCTTCATAACAGCTCAAATAGTGCTCTGCTTCTGGTGTCCCAGGGCTTCATTAGCCTGCAACTTGAAGCTTTTACACTTTGGTCCCACAAACCAGGTTAGGCTTCAGGAAACCATGCAAGGACACTATTCTAGCTACCAATTTTCTGTGTTAATTACATTTCTCATTGTGATGACAACGTATCTGACTAGAAGTAACTTACAGAAAGGTTGACTTGGGGTCATGGTCTGAGGACATACAGTCCATCATAGGAGGGAATGTAGCTAGAGTTTTCCTGCCTGACCCACAGTCAGGACAAATCTCTCTCACCTGCCAGTCACACAGCCGTCAGACCCGACCAAGTAAACACAGAGACTTATATTGCTTACAAACTGTATGGCCGTGGTAGGCTTCTTGCTAACTGTTCTTGCAGCTTAAATTAATCCATTTCTATAAATCTATACCTTGCTACATGGCTCGTGGCTTACCGGCATCTTCACATGCTGTTCTCATCATGGCGGCTGGCAGTGTCTCCCCCACTCAGCCTTCCACTTCCCTGTTTTTTCTCCTCCTTGTCCCGCCTATACTTCCTGCCTGGCCACTGACCAATCAGTGATTTATTTATTGACCAATCAGCAACACATTTGACATACAGAACATCCCACAGCAAGGGAAGGCTGGCAGCAGGAGGTGCTGAGAGAGCTTGTAGCAGATGCTGGCTCAAATTTCAGTTGCCAAGGAAGTAGAGGATATGAAAGGGGCAGGCTGGGCACAAGTCTGCAACCTCTTTCCCTCCCAGATCTATTTCCTAGACTAGGCTCCATCTCCCAATGTTCCACAACCTCTCATAACAGCATCAGCAGCTGAGGACACAGTATTCAAATACATGAGCATGTGGGGGGGACATTTTAAGTGCATCTCTGCCACACAACTAAATATCCACTCAGAGTAGAGTTACATGATTTCTATGAAGATTCTTTCAAGCATTATATTGATAATTAATACTATTAATAAGCATGGTATATGTACCCTCACTGTTTTAATATCAAAGCACTTCCTATGGATCTATGGAAATGGCACAGTAACACCCTAGAGTTATACTCCATTGTACAAAGACCATATGCTCTTAGGTTTGCCATCTTTATTATTGTGGATTACATTTAGTTCTGATGTGAGATGATTTGAAGCTTATCAGTAAGATTCTGTCCTGAAAGGAGAGAGCAGGGGAGGAAGCCGGTGTGCTTAGACTTTTCACATCATGGAACAAAAAGATTTCATTTTCTTTATTTCTTCCTCATGCTTTTTGTTCTGATTCTTAAGTTTTTCATTAAAAATTTCTCCTTGTTCCTGAAAAGAGAAATTGGAAACTGGAATCTGCACAGAGTATCATTTTCCCAGTAAGAAATCTGGCATCCAAGGAGCAAGGAACAGCAATGAGGATTCAGGGCACAGTAGTCCATATACCCTGCTGCTTGGAATGTAAATTAAATTATTATGACTACTACAGAAGTCAGTCTTCAAGTTCCTCCAAAAACTTAAGAGAGACCTTCCATCAGATGTAGCCATGTCATTTCTGGGTACACATCCAGAAGAACCAAAGTCAACTTTCTACAGAGAAACCTGTATCCTCATGCTTATCATTCACTGTCCCCAGAAGCTAAATTACACAACCAAATTGGACATTCTCTTTTTTATTATTCTCTCCACAGTGGGAAGTTTATTCTTTGTACATCTATTCCTTTCCTGGTGAACTCCTTGTACTCCAAAAATTCTAATAGAGAAAATATACTGGTTTAATTCTCAAAGAGCCAACATTGTCTTTATCATTCTATAGAAAAATTTTTATAACTCATTTATAATTTACAGTGTATGTAACTGTATCTTTTACAGCTGTAAATGAGATTAAATTACAGTATTTTCAGGCAAGTGGATGGAAATGACATAAGCCATGCTGAAAATAAGAAGTATGCTTTGTCTCATGTGGAATCCAGAGAGGGGAGAGAAGGACACATAATTAAAGGAAAAATAGTAAGACAAAAGAGGAGGGGTCATTAAAGAAAAAGAAAATGCCATCAAATCTGGTTATATGCAATTATGGAAATGCTATAATGAAACCCTTAAGTTGGACTGATACTATATAGTAAATAACCAAAACTATGATAACTATTTTTTTCAATAATGGTCAGACAAGTACACTTTAAAAATGTTAAAATATGTTTTTTAGTGTTGTGTCTGTTGTGTGTGCACACTCGTGAGTGTGAATGTGTGTGGGTGTATGAGAGAGGGAGAGGGAAAAGGAAATGGAGAGTAGGGGAAGAGAGAGGAGAGAGAGAGAGAGAGAGAGAGAGAGAGAGAGAGAGAGAGAGAGAGAGAGAGAGAGAGAGAGAATATGTGTGGAAGTGAGAGGATAGCCATCGTGTTGTTTCTCACTTTCCACATGGTTTGAGACAAGATTCCTCCACTGTTTTTCTGAGCAAACTGGCCTGTGAGTTTCCAAGGATTCTCCTGTTTATGCTTTCTATCTCCCTGTAAAATGTTGGTAACTGGAATTCATGGTACTACATCCTGCTTACACACAGGTTCTGGGGATTCAAATTCATGTCCTTACATTTGAACAGCAACCACTTTTATGCTCTGAGCCATCTCTCCAGCCTATATTTTTATTTCTTCAGTGTGATTCTTCATAGCTTTAGTAGTTTTTCTACTTTAGCATCTGAAATGTGTTGTCTACATTCCTTAACATAGTATTGTGGTGATACTGTGTTTGTGCTTTAACAAATAAACCTTGCCTGAATATCAGGATACAGACCCAGCCATTAGAGGGCAGGCAGTGGTGTCATATACCTTTAATCCCAGCACTTGGCTTCATATGCTTTTTTTTTTTTTTTTTTTCGTTTCTTTTTTTTTTTTTTCTTTTTTTTTTAATTTATTTTAATTTATTTTGCAATACAATTCAGTTCTACATATCGGTCACGGATTCCCTTGTTCTCCCCCCCTCCCGTCCCCCTCACCTTCCCCCCAACGCCCCCCCCCCCCATTCCCATCTCCTCCAGGGCAAAGCCTTCCCCACAGACTGAGGTCAACCTGGTAGACTCAGTCCAGGTAGGTCTAGTCCCCTCCTCCCAGGCCAAGCCAAACAATCCTGCATAGGCCCCAGGTTTCAAACAGCCAACTCATGCAATGAGCACAAGATCTAGTCCCACTGCCTGGATGCCTCCCAAACAGATCAAGCCAATCAACTGTCTCACCCATTCGGAGGGCCTGATCCAGTGTGGACCCCTCAGCCATTAGTTCATAGTTCATGTGTTTCCATTCATTTGGCTATTTGTCCCTGTGCTTTATCCAACCTTGGTCTCAACAATTCTCGCTCATATAAACCCTCCTCATTCTCGTTGATTGGACTCCCAGAGATCCACCCAGGGCCTAGTCATGGATCTCTGCATCCAGATCCCTCAGTAGTTGGATGAGGTTTCTAGCACAACAATTAGGGTGTTTGGCCATCCCTTCACCAGAGTAGGTCAGTTCAGGCTGTATCTCAACCATTGCCAGCAGTCTGTTGTGGGGGTATCTTTGTGGATTTCTGTGGGCCTCTCTAGCACTTTGCTTCTTCCTGTTCTCATGTGGTCTTCATTTAGCATGGTCTCCTATTCCTTGTTCTCCCTCTCTGTTGTTGATCCAGCTGGGATCTCCCTCTCCCCCAAGCTCTCTTTCCCTCGACCCTCGCCTTTCATTACCCCCACTCATGTCCAGGCTGTTCATGTAGATCTCATTCCATTTCTCTGTCATTGGGCGATCCCTGTGTCTTTCTTCGGGTCCTGTTTTCCGGGTAGCCTCCCTGGTGATGTGAGTAGCAGACAATTCATCCTTGTTTTAATCCCAGCATTTGGGAGGAAGAAACAGGAAGTGAGATGGGTGGGTAGAGAAAGGAAGTTTTAAGGCAAGATAGAACAGGAGCTCCTTCTTTTCAATCAAGGGTTCCTAGAGTTAAGAAGTCTTTCTAGTGGCTGGCTGCTCTGTTCCTCTGATCTTTCAGTGTTTAACCAGATATCTGACTCCATGTTTTTATTCTTAAGACCAATTAGAATTTGTACTACGTAGTATTGCTCTGCATTCAGCCTCTTACTCCATGTTTAGAATTTTATCTTTAAAAAAATCTCTTCAAAAGTCTTTAACCATATGATATGAATATCACATGTATGTAAATAGGATAATAAATATACATTTAGTAGAGTGATGCATAGTTTCCAGATTAAGGAAAGACACGATTGGGGAGTTTTATACAGACCTGTAAGATTTTGTTGGCATTACAAAGAATAAAGTACTGAAGTGTTCTGGGAGTGCATTTGCCCAAAGTGTGACTCAGACTCAAGGCCAGGAGAACAGGAAAGTGTCTACAATCAGTGTTGCTAAGTGGCCATAGGCAGGTGAAATTGCTTTTTAGGATGCTTACAGGAAAGAGGCCAATAGAGATGGTAAAAACAAAACCACTGTGGAGTGCACTAGGTAAGAAAAAACATGCCAGATGTCCACCCAGGAATAGTATCTCAGCACACTTTCTATCTTTCAGGAATGGCAATTTCCACAGTAGAAAAAAAAAAAGACATCAATTCCCATGTTAGTGGTACAAGGCTGCAATGTTGGATTTGGGGTACTGAAGTAGAAAGATCTCAAATGCCAGTCTAGCCTGAGCTACACAGAGAGACCCTATCTAGAACAAACAATGAGATAAAAAGATAATAGAGTAGTCCTGTGTCCTTAAAGAAGCAGGGGTTAAAGTGGTTAAAGTCCTAAGTGTAAGGATTTCAGTTATGGGCTTATATATTTTGAGTGACACAATGATTCAGGAGTCATGGAGCATACTCTATATGTAATGAGCCTTTGTCAGAAATACAAAGGTGAAGGTGTCTACACAGAAAAGTCCTTTACCTAATCACATGTACTAACCATTAATCAGTGTCTTTTATCACTAGACATTGAATGAGAAAATTAAGATGTCACAATGAATTACCTCAAGCTTGTTAACCAAGATCTTTTCTTGCTTTGCAATTTGATACAATGTATCTGCTTTCATCTGCTCAGCCATTTGTTTCAAATAATCCAGAAAAGCTCTTTCTTTCTGTTCCATAATCTTCAGAGTAGTCTCATACATTTCCTGGAGCATTTTCATTGACTCGGAGGACTGAGCTTGTGCAGATTCCACTGAGGATTAAAACAAACAAACAAAATAGAAAAAATATGTAGGATCAGTGTGTAGCTTCTCTCTCCCTCAATGTTTATTTATATTGATTTTTCATGACGGAAATTCTTAGGTTCATAATTTATTCTGGAGTGATCACAGTTCCTCTGATACATTTTCTTAACTCAGATATGACTTTTGAGAATGAAGACACATCTTTGCTCTTCTTGTTATAGTATGAAAACATGATGTCACTGAGCCAGGACCAAGGAGAGGGCAGTAGTTACCCTTGGGCTTCATTACAAGGAATCTCGAAGCTCTACACACTCACTCTTCACAGGGACAACCCTCCCCTTGACCATGGAGCTTCTGCATTCTGAACCTAGGCTGAGTCAGATGACTAAGCATTCAAAGGGCAATTTAATAAAACCCATTCTTTTACACAACTACTGTAAAATAAAGTTTAAAATTCAAAAAGAAACATTTCCTTCAATGTGAGCTGAAACATTATTCACTGAACCCCCAGTATTGATACTTAGTTGGGCCTAAAGTTCCTTGGTTCACTTTGCATCTAATTTTCTCTATGTTCATGTTATTTCAACCAGATTCAACAGTGTAAGTAAGCCGTTATATCAGAACATAGATCTATAATCATTGTGTGGATGAGGAAAGAGAAATCAACCTTAAACAAACTACATAATAGCTCCCTATTTAAAATATATCTTATTATAAAATTTATATTTTCTCTAAAGGAAATGTAAGTAACTTGACAAATAGTATGCACTTAACCATCCTTAATAGCATTAGTGGGAAAAACAAGAGGGATATCAACAGTTTTAGTAATGAGCATCAAAGAAATCGCCTTAGTAGCAGCTCTTAACCTTTATACACCATCTTCATTTCTGCAATGTTTATGACCAGATAATGCAAGCATGTAAAGTTCATGTTCAATGCTATTGACTGCTGTGTGGGAGTTGATCATTGCACTTGAGCCCTGGTGACAGTGTTGGGAAGGAAATATTGATTGTACGAATGCAGAGTCTAATACATTTTAGGATTATTTCTCTGTTTTTTGCCTCTATCTCCTGAATCTCCTTCTGATGTTTTCTTCTCTCTTCAAGGATTTCTTCCTTGAAATTTTCTCGATCCTAAGGAGGAAAGGATAGTTAAAGAGGCATAGAATAAAATGATCTCACAGAAATTGTTTCATTATTATCTAATAAGTTTCTCTCTTTCATTTCTAGAATTAGTATCTTAAACAGACTTGAAACTCTCTTTGAAGTTAGCCTCCTATCTTATCTTATAACACGTTTCTTTCTCTTGAGCTTCTTGTATTTGGAATTATTTCCCAAGAACTTCTTCATAGTCTTTAGAAGAGGCTCATCTATGGAGTCCCTGATGTATTGCTGCTGTAGAGTTCTACTTTGGGATTCTTGATCCAATAGGCAACACAACTGGGTATAATTATCACTCTCTTTTCCTCCTCCAACTGACCCCTTCTATAGTGTGGGTATTCATTTCAAAATGATGGTCACTTGGGAGGATTTCTCCATGGTGCTCAGAAGCACAAGTATAATTAGATCATGAAATTCTGATGGGATTATTAATAATAAGAAAATAAAATTGAGGAGACTGGGACTGTATTTGCTCAGAGTGCACTTCTGGGCCAATGTACAGAATCCTCAGACTTAGAGGAAGCCCAGAGAACAGTTAGGGTAGAACAGTGAGAGAGCATTTCATATGTGTTTCAGCAAAGACAAAATCACTATTGACTCCACTAGGCAGAAAACATATGCTAGGTATTTTCCCATGATATATGATGCAGAAATTCCTTATCTCATATGCAACCATAATTTTCTGTTTAGAAAAGGTAACCAGTTCTGTATCATTTGATGTGGGTACAATATATAATACATTGGAGGCTTTTTGTACAGGGCTTGGTGACCACTAGCTACTATATAGTGAGTGAGAATTATGCAGACTCCAGGAAGCACAGTCTACCAGCAAGAGGCCATTAGCAAATGCAGATTTTCTATGCCACAGACACAAATGATGTGAAACTGTGGTAGAGTGTCTAGCTACAATGGTCCTTCACCTAGATTAACTGCACTAACCTCTAATCAGTGTCTTTTATTCCTGCCATTGGGTGGGAATGTTGTGATGGCACAAAGGAATACCTGCAGCACAAAGGTCATTATCTTCTCTTGCTGAGCTCTGTCTCTCTCCATCTTTTCTATCAACTGTTGCACGTGTTCCTGGTGATTCTTGTCTTTATTTTCCATCATCTGATCACATTTCCTTTGCATTTCTTCCATTATTTTTACTGTAGTCTCTGTAGTCTTTGAAGATTCAGCTTGCATATGATCCACTGTGGAAGAAAAGGAAAAAAAAAAAAACATGTAGGATTGGTATGATGTCTCCTTCTGCCAACACCTGTTTGGTAGTTTGCTAAACAACACTTGTTTAGTAGTACTAGTTTGGATACATGGAGTTCTGTGGTACCAGCATGGAGAAATCATGATGCCTCTGACATATCTCACCAAGACATGGTTTGGGGAGTGAAGGTCCATCCTTGCTTTTGTTGTTCCAAGGAGATCTATATCTGAGGATATCCACTAGTTACTAATAGGCTTATAGAGCAATGGTTGAATACAGTCGTCTGTGTGTGTGTGTGTGTGTGTGTGTGTGTGTGTGTGTGTGTGTGTGTTTCTACAGCTCTCTCTCTGAATTGTGTGTCTAAAGGTCAATACTTTTCTATCACTAGTTAATTGTACATCAGCTACACACTGAAACTATTGTGACCTGGGACTGATGGCTAAAAAGAACTTCCCTTTAATTTAAAAAGAATTATTATTTTGCTTTCTGCATATGGATGTTTTTGTCTGAATGTTTTTCTGTGCATGTTCATTCCTTGTTCCTGTAGAGGCCAGAAGAGAACACTGGATCCCCTGGAACTAGAGTTACAGATAATTATGAGCTTCCATGTGGGTGCTGGAAATTCAACCAGTCCTCCGGAAGAGCAACCAGTGTTCTTGACTACTGAGCCATCTCTCCAGCCCCGGAGCTTCCCTTTATATATAATCACATATGTTCTATGGTCTATCAGCAGGAATACTCAACAATATCTAAAGAACTGGTTCACTCTTCAGTGCACAAAAGGGAGAATGTGCACAGTGTTGAAGAGTCTAAATTATTTACTCAGAGGAGAAGAAAATTCTCATGAATTTTCTGGCAACTTTCTCTCTTATCATGCCCCTTAGTTATATAATTTATGGGCTCTCCACCACAAAAGATGTATAGTTCAAATATCAGATATAGTAAAGGTTATGCTAATGTATATAATATAATTAAAAATGAAATGAAAAACTTAAGATGGAAAAATGGTTTTACAAGTAATTTCATTTTGCTGATTTATGGCTCAGTGACGATATAAAAGCCAAAGCTTGTGGCTTAGTGAAGGTATAAATGTCACGAATTCAAATGTAAAGCGAGTGGGTGTTGTTAGATACCCCAAATTCATTATTGAACTTGTTCTTGGACTGGATAGTGTTCTAATAGAAACTCTTGTCCTACATATTTAATTTTTATTTATTATTATTACGTCTGTATGGCTTGTAGGGAGCAGGGGCACCCATGTGCCACTGTCCATGTGTGGAGATCAGAGGACAACTATGTGCAGTCTCTTCTCTCCAACTTTACATAGCTTCTCATGATTGAACCCAGGTCCCCAGGCTTTACAGGAAGTTCCTTTTACATGGTAAGTCCTCTTAACAGTCCTGTTCTATGTATTTTTCCATTCTATTTGTAGTGTAGAAGATAATACTTTTTTCTTTGTATCTCTTCTCCATGTTCTTCATCTCTTCTTGAAGTTTTCTGCTCTCTTCTTGGAACCCCTCTTGGAGTAGCTGTTTCTGCTCCTAAGAGGGAAAGAGAATATTTAGTGTTGCAAGAAACATCAAGATAACAAAATTTACCAAACAATTTACAAATTAGTGGTTTTGAAATAATTCAGTAATTCCTTAAGACCTTGGTATTCATTCTTAGATTTTTCCCATTAGTGTCCGTACCCTCCCCTGTCTTGTGTTTTCAGCTTTTATTACAATACCTGATAATTTCTTATTTGGTCAAAAGTAGTGTATATCTACAGTCCCTGAAAAAGTTTTGATCTAAAACCCAACCCTGGGATTAGTGGATCAATGAGAATTTACTCATTACACCTAAATACAGACAGCATTTCCATCAACTGGCAATTATATGGTATAGTTTTTGTTTTCAAACACACTTTTCCTCCTGTAATGTCAAGTCCCAGCTGTCTGAACTCTACCAACTGTGGGCAAACATATGCTTTAATTGCTCTTTCACTGAATATATACAGACATTTCTTTTATTATTATTTACTAAACAATAATGAACTTGAGCACCACCAACATCCATGAAGGTCTTGGGAATTATTGCTCCATAATCATTGACAGACAACTCTATTACGCAGTAATAATGGAAATTTAATTCTGTGAATCCCAGAATAAAGTAAAATGTCTCATCATGGAATTGTATATAAGCTTCCAAATTTCATATGTAGAGTAAGAGATAGTAGTTGAGGACCTGGAGGACTGATATGGCCAACAGTACATTTCTGAACTGACATTTAGTCTCAACCTATCCTTGGAGGAGGGGCTATGAACAGAAAGGTGTTGGAAGACTGTGTGTCAGTTGGTGATGCATCTTCCTACTCTAGGTATTTCCAGATATAGACAAGGTGTGAGGAAAACAGATTGCTACTGGCTCATCCTGCAGATGATTGTGTGAGATCTAGCCTAGAACATTTACTCAGAACAACTCATGAGGAATCAATCAAAGAATGCACATACTGTAGCATTGCTGTATGACAACTCTCTGCTGGATCAACACTGCACTACAGTTACTCATTTGTCCTCTTTTGATTGCTTAATTTAATTTAGTGATTTTTAAAACCTTCACTGTGCATAATCATTGTATGTGCTAGTATATTGCATAAAGACACTGTTAATTAAATCTATATTGTATGTTGATCAACTGTTTTTCATGACTTCCCACCTTCCATTTTCTCACACATATCCTCCCTTGTCATTTTTATTCTTCCAAATGATTTTGCTTTCACATGTGCATTTATGTATTCCTGGGACTGAAGTAAACACACACACACACACACACACACACACACACACACACACACACACACAAATGGTTGTATCAATAAGACAAAAAGGCCTAAACAAAATGAAACAAAAGATCTAGAAAAACACTGAGTTCATTTTGCTTTGGCAAATTATTTCTGAGCATGGGGCCTGCCCTCAAGTGTGGTTGATATACTCATTAACACTCATTGGCGAAAACTGAGTTTTCTTTGCCAGTGAGCATCAATTGCAGGTAGCTTCTTGATTAAAGGTAGGACCCATGCCCAACTCTCCCTCTCAGTGCTGGGACCCTGTCTGGCTTGAGCCTTATAGGTCTTGTGTGTTCTGCCAGAGTCTGAGTTTACATGTGCATCAGTCCTGTTGTGCCTTGAAAATGAGGTTTCCTTGGAGTCACCCATCACTGCTAGCTCTTACAATCTATCTGTATCCTCTTCTGCGTGGGTCTATGAGTGTTGAGAGGAGGGGTTTGATGAAGACATCCCAGTTAGGGCTGAGTGCTCCAAAGTCTCTCATTCTCTGCATATTGTCCATTTGTGGTTCTCTGTTCATTCCCACCTACTACAAGAAGAAGATTCTCTGATGTGGTATGAGAAAGGCACTGATCTATGAGTATAGCAGTATGTCATTAGGAGTCATTTGATTTATAGGTTTCTTTAACAAATCAGTTGTAGTAGGTTTTATCCTAGGCCTATGAGCAATCTAATTTCAGGTTCTTGGGCATTTAGCAGTGGCAGTAGTGGGTCTTAAATCAAATAAAAAAAAAGTGGTTGGTTATTCCCATTGCATGCAGCAACTATTGCACTGTTATGTCTTACAAGCAGGTTGTTGTTGTAGGTCACAGGACTTGTAGCTGGTTGATATTGATGATTACTTTTCTCCTCTGTAGTGTGCAGAACACCATTTAGTACCATGAATGCTGGCCAGTGAGAGTGAAGCTTCTGCTTAGGCACCAGTTTCACTTCTTTGTGCTCAATGACATAGAAAGTATTGTCTACAGCAATAGGGCCTTATCATCAGACTGAAGAGAGCAACCAATAGCCTTGACAACATTTGATGCTTGAGGTGTTCCATGGGTCCCCTTGTGCCAAATTACATTTGATCTCTTCCTTTTTTAAATGTGGAAACTTAAATGTTTAAACTGGAGCTGTATTTTTCCAAATATTTTTAAGTTTAAATTATGAATGGATGCTGTGGGATGTTCTGTATGTCAAATGTGTTGCTGATTAGTCAATAATTAAAACACTGATTGGCCATTGGCTAGGCAGGAAGTGTAGGCGGGACAAGGAGGAAAATAAAGCTGGGAAGTGGAAGGCTGAGTCAGAGAGACACTGTCAGCCGCCATGATGAGAAACAGCATGTAAAGATGCCGGTAAGCCACGAGCCATGTGGCAAGGTATAGATTAATGGAAATGGATTAATTTAAGCTGTAAGAACAGTTAGCAAGAAGCCTGCCACGGCCATACAGTTTGAAACCAATATAAGTCTCTGTGTTTACTTGGTTGGGTCTGAGCTGCTGTGGGACTGGCGCGTGAGAGAGATTTGTCCTGACTGTGGGCCAGGCAGGAAAACTCTAGCTACAAATGGATTTTTAACAATAAAATAAACTTGTAAAATACTTGTACAATGTCTTTCTGTGGATAGCTGTTGTTTGTAGTGACTCAGGAAAATAGTATTCGCAGGACTTTTTTTTTTAATGGGAGCAAGTAGTTTTGGACAGCTATCCATGCACAGTGATGGTCACAGTAAGTTTGAAGAGACTGCTACAGAATATGGGCTGGATAATTCCTTATACCATGTGATTGTCTAACCTCCTACAGCATAGTTTCTGTTAAAGATTCTGGAGGATAAAAATAACAGGATACCTGAAGTTTAAGAGCTAGTGTCCGCTCTTGCTCTGCCTTCAGCTGGATTCTGTCATTCTCCATTTTCTGAGTCAGCTGTCTCAGGTGCTCCTGATAACTCTTTTCTTTCTGTTCCATCAGCTTCTCATTCTTCTTCTGTGTTTCCTCCATTAGTTTTGCAGCAGCCATTGCAGATTCAGTTTTCTTCCGCTCCACTGAGAAAGAGGGGAAACAATTTTTACGTGGGTCTACAGTGGGAAGGCACTGACTGCTGGTGCTCTATATGTACTCATAGGTTGAAGTTGTAGTCACAGTGTGATGATATAGCGAGTTGTGATTCTGGTGAGGTAATTGGATTTAGATGATTGTGAGGATGGAGCCTCCATAGGAGCTCAGTGCTGTTGTAAGATGATAATAAAAACACAGAGTTCAGTCTTCCCACCCTGCAATGATGCAGTGGGAAGACACCAAGATACTAGAGAGAGCACTCTTGACCATCATAGAATCCAGACTCTAGATTCTTGTTCTCCAGAACTGTGAGAAGTACATGTGTTTTCCGTATGGCACCTGTCTATGGCATTCTGTCCTTGCAGTTCTCCCCAGAGGAGACAGTATTACCTCCTCCTTACTCCCATGGTTTCTTGTTAGTACTATTAAATTTTTGTTCTTCTTTTTTCTTTTCCTTCCCTTTTTATTTATTCTATGTGTCTTTTACATCATATATCTTGATCCCATTCATTTCCCCATCCCTTTTCATCTGCCCTCTGCCCCTGCACCAGAACCAGCCCACAAATGAAAACAAAATTTAAGAGAAAAGCAAGGCAGTGCGGGGGGAGAAAGAGAAAGGCAAACAAACAAGAAGAAGGAGAAAACAAATGAAATCATTTTAAATAGGGGAAATTTTAAAATCTCGTCATGGAAGCTGCAGTGTGACACAGTAAGTCACACAGTAAACATATATATATATATATCTTTACTTCTAAGTACTCATTAAAGAGTCATTGGTCTGGTTTGAGGTCTCTGATTTCTGCTACACTATTGATGCTGTTTCCTCACTGGGACTCTTCTTGGATGTCCTGTGTTGTGGAGATCCTGTAGCGTTGGGTCTGCAGGTCAGGTCCCTTAACATGCTCCTGTAGATCATAGATGGGGTGGATTTAAAGTGGACCAAGTCATAACTCTGTTTCTGGGCCTGTTTTATTTTATTTTATGTGTATGCGTGTTTTGCCTGCGTGTACATCTGTACACCACGCACACGCTTGGTGCCTGTGGAGCCCAGAAGGGGGCAGTCTTGTTATTGGAGCTACAGTAAGTTATGAACCACTAGGTGGGTATTGGGAATGCCCCTTGTCATCATCACTATTTGATAGAAAGACTATCCCAAGTCCAATTTACTCTTGAGGTAACTCCATAACATCAGCAACCCTGAGCATCATGGTCAAAACGACCATTCTTGTTTGAGTTTAAGAGTTACTATTTTAAGACAGGCAAATAGTTAAACTGTTTCAAGATTTTGTTTTTTGGTTTCTTTCTCACCTTCAATCTCCTTTTCCTTTTCTGTCAGACTCTGATCTGTCTGTAATATTGCATTAGAAACAGCCTCCTTGGATTGTATGTATGTCTGTAGAACCTCTTCAACCTTAGAGACCAGAGAACATAAGTTAGTGGGAGGACATCTATCTATCTGTCTCCCCACCACCCTCAAGAATTGTTCTATCCATCTGAGATTCCTTACCACAGGAATGGGCAAATCATCCAAGGCAACAAAAGAAAGCTCCCTATTGGTTGATACTGGGAGAAAGTGATTCCGTACATTTAGACTAAGGCATGTGAATTGGAGATGTTAATCTTGTGGGCTTACATGGGCGAATCATTCTGAGACATAAAGCCTTCAGGGAGAAAACAGTTCAGAGTGATATAGATATAAAGATGAAATGGCCAGAATGTAGAGTTAAAGTAATCATCAATCAGATGAATAAGTATCATTTTTCTAAATGTTTGGATGAAGGAGACATGCCAGCAGTGTTAGAGCACACTGATAAATATCTTGGTTACCTGTATGCCCTTCTTTGGTTCTCCATAGTACTTTTTCTTCAGCCTTTCTATCTCCTGAACAAAGAGGCAGTAACCTCCTGGCTTATAATAAGTGCCTTGCCTCACACCTTCTTCAAGAGATCTGAAAATATCGTGAAGCAATTCCCAGCAATGGTTTGATGATGCTTCCAGATTGCGTTTACAAAAGTCATCCCATCTTTCTTCTAGCTGAGACTGCAGTGTAAAAATGGAAGTAAAAAGGACACCAGAGAAGATAGTAACAAGGGTTAGAATTTCTCCAAGGGCTTCCCAAAAAAACTCGTTGTCTCCAGAAACTTGATGACAGCTGAGGAAAACTATGGCTCTTCTTTGAGTTTGAACCTTCTTATGAATCCCCTCCTTACTAGAAATGATGATCAGAGGTTTATGCCAAACCTAATTGCAAGCTTTGCATTTAAACTGGACTGATGATGGCTGTGAATAGAATGAAGGAACCAAAGCATAAGCCCAAGGAGACAACTAAAACCACAAGTTTATCTCTTTTGACCAAATGAAATAAAATTGATCTATCCAAGTGTATAATTTGATTAAAGCACTGATTGTTAATTATATGCACTTAAACTAAAGGTGAGTATCATAAAATTATTTCAAACTTGAGTCCATAGTTTAAAGATTGTTTCTTTTGAGTATATATTCTAAAGAGGCAATTGTCACTTTTTAAGGGCTACAAAGGATAGTTTCCTTCAAAATTAACACTCATTTTGTTGTCTGATATATCCTTTGCCTTGTATAACATTGATCCATATAAACTTAGGAGAAATTTACCGCCAATTCCTTTTGGAATGAATGGTCTTCATCTTTAAAGGAAGTGCTGAGGAAGATTTCTACGGCCTCTTTTTCACAGGTCCTGTGATGATCTAGCAGCTCCTGGAGGGTCTCTGTGGGCAGCTGCACCCTCTGGCTCATCTGCTGGTCATAGTGGGCAGTGGCCTTTTGCACTGCAGCTGAGTTCTCTATCTTTGCCAAGGCCAGGACTGCATTCTCCATGCAGGGCACGTCTCCACTGCAGATGGCTTCAATATAGGTCAGCACTAGACTTTCTAGTCCTATAAACAGAGAGCAAATGATGACATCCACTAAGTAGAACTTTCTTCTCTAAGGAAAAGATAAGGCAGGCCTGTGTATATTGAACACGGATATCTCAGTTCTCCAACATGTTTAGAATAAGACCTCTCATAGTGGTTCTCAACCTCTGGGCCGAGACCACTCTGGGATCTCCTAAGAACATTGGAAGTATCAGATAATTACATTAAGATTCCTAACCATAGCAAAATTACAGTTACAAAATAGCAACAAAAATAATTTTATGGTTGAGGATCACTACAGCCAGAGGAACTGTATTAAAATGTCTCAGCATTAGGAAGTTTGAGAACCACTTACCAGAGCATAGTATGGTAATATAGTCCTCTATATTACTTCATTGAAAAGTCTTTAGTTAAACACGTCTGGAAAAGTAATAGTTTCCTTACCCAAAGTGTTCACCCTTATCTCACTCGAGCTCAGTGTTGCTTTAGAGAATTTTCTGAGGGGAACCAATTTTTAATGGCTCTGCTTTTCATCACAGTAACCATGAGAAATAAGGCTGTATAGTATAATTTTTTGACTTAATAGTCTGAATTCATTCTACTTAATTTTTCTTTAAATTTAAATGACTATGCATACATTGGTTAGATACTAAACAACAGGACATATCTGACTTTGTACAACATTATGGAAACTTAACTTGGTTTAACTTATTTAAACTCAGTTTTCACTACCTATTCTTCTATAGGATTTGACTAATTAAAATCTGGTAGATCAGTTTAAACTGTCTAGAATTTAACATAAATAGTCAAAGCCTCTACACTTTTGAAAGCTGAAACTATATGAATGTTTCTCTCTCCCTCCATCTTGAAATGAGTGGAAGACCAAGATGGGGACTCACGTGGGCCATTGACAGGGATGCCTCCTGGAAGAGTTTTGGCTTTGCAATGGTTAAAGATGTACAAACAGAATTCTGCTACTTGCTTCAGAAAATCAGAATCGATCTCATTTTCTTGCAGTGTGTCCAGCTGGGAGAGCTTTTTCCACTCAGTGGGTGGGTAGAAGGTAAAACACTTCTTCTTTGGAAAGAACTTCCGAATATAGAATCGGGGCAAGTTGTATTTTTTCAACTTCTTTGCAGGTACCTGGGAAAATAATTTTTCCAAAGCAGGATGAATAGTTAGTGGAAGTGTTAGTTTGTCATTTGAGAATTTCTTCAAATAAATCTTCTCTCTATGTTATAGTTTTGGTTATGTACAGCCTTGCCACATAAGTCCCAATGTAAGTAAAGAGATGAACATGGTCTGATAACAGTACTGAGAAAAGGGCAGCCACAGAAACTGCAAATTAATGTAATTATTATTGATTCAGGCAGATGATAAATAATAATCACTTCTTAGGAATAGCCAGAAGCATAGAAATGAAAAACTGAATGTGCCACCCAAAAAGGAAATAAATTTCTGGCATTTTCATCTACAAGTATCAATCTATGTACCTTCCTTGAGTTTCAGCGAATTCTCTAGGTACTCATCTGCTGTGACATGGAATCCATCTACTTCCATCTTCAAGGTCATGTCTCTCAGGCTCCACACGAAGTCAGGGAAGAAGCTCACAAACTCAGCTGAGTCCTCCACCTCATCCTCCTGGTCAGGTGAGGACCTTGCTCTGATGCGATCTGTCAGCTCTGTCACATAGCTGGGTAGCTAAGGAAAAGTGGTGAATGAGCAGGGTCCCCAGTCTTCTTCCTCCCATTGGTCTCATCCATCCCCACACATGGTTTTACCATGCTCTGACTCAGTGTGGACTCATTAGTTGGTGTATGAAGTCTCCCCTTAAGCTGGGATTATTCTGCCTCCTATCTGCCAACACTGACTCTGTAGCATTCCAGGCTGGGATGTTCTCCATCACAGAAAGGATACTGTAGCTGGTCCATGGCCTGCTGGTTGATGGCTCCCATGCTGTTGTACATGAAGGTGCTGCTCAGAAGTACAGCCAGGGCAAAGATCCAGGAATCATTCTGGTTGTCTCCCTGGAAGTCAGAACACACATAGGTCATGAGTATGTCATGTGTCAGTTTTTTTGACCTTGCCAGGTAATTGTTATATAGACAGTGGATGTTTGCAGATATTTTGCAGCTTCAAATATACTGTAGATTTAAGTATTTCTCTCATTGCTAACTGAGAATTTATACTTTCATGTGATGCATAATACCTGTGTCTATTTTTAAAATCTCATTTAATTCTTTCTTCTAGTTCTGAGAATGGAAAATAGGGCTCTTCCCAAGCGTAACAAGCACAAAGGACTGAGATAGGCCATTATAGGTCATTCTTGGATACTCATTATGTACCAGAAAAATTATTTATTTTATTACGTATTAAAAGAAATGCCATAAGACATGTAGAGTACTGTCTTTTTTATTCAGTTGATGAATCAGATAATTGATGCTAAAAGAAACTTTAAAATAAGGACTGTGATTTAGTAACAAGGTTTCCATTTGAACACAGTTATGGGCCTTCAAACTCAAATCTGTAAATGAAGTTCTATGTAGAGTAGGATACATGACACTGAATTTATCCTTGGTGCCTTGATAAGATTGGGTACCAGGTTTAGGTTACAGCCTGTTAGTTGCTGGGATACTGCAGAATGACCATCCTGCTCTTCTATGAGTCTGTCTATTTATTAGTGATGGCTAAAGTTAATTACATTAAGATAGAGTAAATTCAAGCTCTTATTTAAAAATTACAGATTATTTAGATATCAGGGTCTGCACTGCAAATTGAACTTTCAATCCTTACTTTTGCAATATCGCCCAGGCCCTCAGTGTCAAGCAGAACAAGCGTGTGGTCTTTCTTGTGGGGATGAGGCACACACCACATCCAGATTCCTTTTGTATGAGCCTGCACTGTGGAGCCCAGAGAGAAGCCTGTGACATGTAGAAGAGAGGACACAGTGACAGAGAGTTAGAAGCAGGCGTTTCAGGAAATTGATGTAAAAACGAGAACAATCCAAGTCAGTAGAGCTAACTGAAACCAAAACTAGTATTGATCTTGCAACCAGAGAAATAATAAAAATACTTGAAAATATCCACAGTTATCATTAAAAATAGTACTCAGCAAACTAGAATAATTTCTTAATGCAAATGTATGAAATGCTGTATATGAAAACTGATGCCAATATTATACTCATTGGTAAAAGCTGGTAATTTTTTCCTTTAAGATCATAGAAGAGAAAAGTTTGCCCAGTTTGGACACTGGTGTTCAATACAGTACTTGAAGTGTTATCCAAAGTAATTAGGAAAAAAACAGAAATAGCTGGTACCCAAGTTGGAAAGGGAGAATAAGATTATCTGCTGAGGGCCTTGGGAGTATACAGCAGGTGACAACTAGTGTTTGACAAGTCGACCCACCAGATGTATAGCTCCCTGATGGGGAGCCCCACCTGGCAAAGCTGTGGGGTCGCTGGCTGTGGAAACTGGTTGATTTCTGTTTGTAACTTTCTCAGATGCCACTGTTATGCCTCCCTAATAAGAACAGCTGTGGGGTGCTTTCCACGGCCCTTTGGTAGTGTGATTTACATCTCTGGGCACACATTTAGCTGTGGATTTCTGTTTATGCTGTATAATTCTGATGTACAGAAGTATTACCAGAATGTTCTTCTTTACTGACACAGGAAATTAACAGTATTCTCTGTCTCAAAGACAGGCTTTTACACATTTTGCAAAGACCTTAGAAATAGCCCAATACAGACTAAACCGCCCCTACAGAAAACACACAAACTCTAATTCCTAGGTGTTGTTTATTGCTAAATTAAGGTCAGGCTGTTTACATCAAAACATAGTCCTTGCAGTAGCTCTCTTTCTGCATGTACCCTGACTGCTCAAGGTTCAGCCAATTGTTTACTGTCTGGGACCCCTCACCAACTTAGAGCTACATGCATGGGTCGATGTGACATTACTAGCCTAAGAGAAACTATGTGACTTACTTTGTGTTTTGAGAATGGGTCAGATCCTGAAAATGTAACTTACAATTGTCCTGAGTTTGGCTGTGGAACAGCAGCAGCCATGTGGAAAGAGACAGTTGTTTAGAGTTATGTGAAAGCTGCTGCAGAATGTGAGTAAAGTGTGTGTGTGTGTGTGTGTGTGTGTGTGTGTGTGTGTGTGTGTGTGTGTGTGTGTGTGCTGGGTGAGAGATGAAGAAGAAGTAACATGAAGAAGAAGAAGGAGGAGGAGGAAAAGCATGAGAGAAGTGTGAGGAGTGAGTGGGTGCAAGAAGGAATGAGTAAAGAGTGAGTGAATAATGTAGAATTATGTGTGTGTGTGTGAGAGAGAGAGAGAACTATGTGAAAGAAGCTGCTGCTGCTATGTAGGGGAGCTGTGCCTAGGAACTGTGTAAAGTGCTGTGTGGTGAGAGAGCTATGTAAATGAGATATTCATCTGTGGCTGTGTGGAGATTTATGACTATGTGGAGTCAAGGAAGATGAAGCTGTATAGAAAAGAGATATAGAAGAGAAATGTATGTAAAAGATAGATGTGTAGACATGTGAAAACAGATGTAACTGTGTATAGAGATGTATGGCCATATGTACATAAGAAAGACATGTAGTTGTATGTATAAAATGTAGCCATGTGGAGATACGTAGCTGTGTAGAGACAGAAAGAGTCAGAGACCATTCTTAAGATGAAGTAAAAGAGAAAGTTAACATCCCAAAGCATGTGTGTTTTCTTATTTTACCAGTCAGATAGATAGAAACTTATTTCTAAATACCTTCAGATAGAAAAAATCTAGTGCTAGCCACCTTTGAGGATTTTCTTGCATTACTCTGGACGTGGCCTTGGAGCAGGCTCTCCATAACACCCTTAATAATTATCTTTTTCACAGATGGTATAATTTTATATGCTAAAACCTTTAACTATCCCACAGAATAATGTTAAGTATAATCAATTAATCCAGCATGGCTACAGCACACAAAATTATTCCTGTGATTTCTATAATTAGTTCCTTCCCTACACACCAATAATAAATAGCCAACCCATGCAATGAGCACAGGGACTTGGCCTGGGAGGAGCAGACTGGACCTACCTGGACTGAGTCTACCAGGTTGATCTCAGTCCGCGGGGGAGGCTTTGCCCTGGAGGAGGTGGGAATGGGGGGTGGTCTTGGGGAAGGTGAGGGGGGTCAGAGGGGGGAGAACAAGGGAATCCGTGGCTGATATGTAGAACTGAATTGTATTGCAAAATAAAAATAAAAATTAAAAAAAGATATACGAGTTCTAAGATAATTAGAAATAAATAAATAAATAAATAACCAAAATAATAATGTACAGAAAATTAAGAAATTAACACCACTTACAATTCCATCTAAAGAATAAACTACTTAGGAATAAATACACTTCATCTAGAAGGTAACAAAACTACGTGGGGAAATATACATGTTATTTTTAGAAAAAAATTCAGAACACACAAAAAATTACATGTTCCATGTTTAATGTTTGGATGAATAATATTCTTAAAATATCAATGCTATGAGCAGGCTTTTTGGAGCCCACTCACTACCTATGATGGGACACTTGTGCAGCCTTGAGGCGGGGGGGGGGGGGGGGGGGGGGGGCGGGGCTTGGACTTGTCTCTACTGGATGTGCCTCCCCATGGGAGGCCTTGTCTTCTTGTGGGGAGGAGTGGAGGGTGGGTTGGAAGGAGGAGGCTGGGGGTTGAGAAGAGAGGAATCTTTGATTGGTGTGAATAGAAAAAAATTTCTTAATAAAAAAAAAGAAAACAAAAAAATCAGTGCTATAAATGTGATGAATATCCATTCTTTTTGTGATGAAGACCTTGCTTGGTTATCAAAGCTGTGCTTGAACTAGGGGATTCAAATATAACCTGTTCAGTCTATATAATACTACCTATATGGATATTTCCAGGGATGAAAAATATTTTTTAAATTTTATTTAGGAAATTATCTTTTTAAAAACATAGGTTTTCTTGGGGGTGGATTTGATGACTCAGCTGGTAAAGGTGCTGAGACAACCTGAGCTCAGTCCCCAGGATCTAGATGTTGGCAGGAGAACACTGACTCTCACAAGTTGTCCTCTGGTTCATAACATGTTCACACCCTGTACAATTTTAGAAGTTTATAAAAAAAAATTATCCTCAGCATCCTGAGTGCTGGAATTTATGCCCTGCGCCACAGCCATTACTTCCTTCATATTTTGTTTTAAGGGTCAAATCCACAACAACAGGCTATAGAACAGTGATGGAAAATTGGGGGATGGATAATTATTGTGTGATGGGTATGTAGTTTGTCTTGGGGAAACATAATAAATATGTAAGTGGATTAATGTGATGATTGTACAATAATGGGAATTTGTTTAATAATAAAGAATTGCAGTTAAAATGGTTAGAAGAGTTAATTTTATATTATGTTTATTCATGACAATAAGAATTTCCAATTCAATTTGAAACATTTTTAAAATATTAAAGATCAGAGGAAACTCACTGTTACTTCATGACCTTATTAATTACAAAATCATCATCATCATTATTGTGTGTGTGTTTGTATATGCATGATGTGTGTTAGGGTGTGTGTGTTAGGGTGTGTGTGTGTCACAGCACTGTGTAGAGGTCAGAGGACAGCTCTGTAGATTTGACTGTCTCTTTCTACCTTCTTGGTATCGGGTCCAGGTTGCCTTGTGCAGCAAGGGCCTTTACCTACTGATTCTTTTTCTTGGCCCAGCCTTTACTTTTAATGACTGTCATACAGACTATTATGTAATTGAATTATTCTTCTTATGCTTTCTCCCTTTCTAGGATAGGAATAATTTCTGATTTTAAAATGGAACTGAAGATAATAAAGAGTGTTGTGGAGCTGACTGACTTCCTGAAACAGAGTGAAGATAAAAAGCCCAACTCTGAGTAGATTAGATTTCAGAATCTATCTCCTTCTCTAACATTGTTCCCCCTCACAACCCAAGTTCAAAGTGTGACCAAACAGAGGGGACTCAGCAAAGCACTGTTGGTGGCACTCACCTGTGTTCTTCCCAGCCAGCTTGTTCATCAGGTAGGATTTGCCTGTGCGGTAGAGGCCCACTATGGCCACCACCACCACTGGCTGTGTGATGGCCGACAGGATCTCCAGGGCCTTCTGATTAGGCCTCAGTTGTCCTTTCACATTCTCAATGAGACACAGGGGCTCTGGCATGTGGACCTTTAGAGCCGTGTTCATTGAGGTTCTTTGTCTTTGAGGGAAGAGGTGGAATAAATTAGAAATCCCTTCTCTTCTCAGAAGGTGGAGTCACACAACCCTCTAGCACAAACTGAAGTTTTATTGCATTGTTGAAGTGGTAAAGCAAAAATCTGCGTAATTTTAGAAAGTTATGAAAATATAATCCAAGAAGTTGAATAAAAATGATAGTACTAATGAATTTTCAAAATTCAACTACTAACAACTCAACTCTTCCCTTTAAGTTATCATGGATTCTAGTTTTAAATTTTATGCTAGATATTAAATAGGGAAGATAATTTATTAAAAATATTTTCATTAATTTTATTTTTAATTTATGAGTATATACTCACTCATAATTAAATACTAGATGTAAAGCAAAGGATAACAGGACTACAACCCACAGCTCCAGAGAAGCTAGCTAACAAGGAGGACCCTAAGAGGGACACATGGATTGCCCCAGTAAGGGGAAATAAATGAGATCTCCTGAGTAAACTGGGGTAAGGGGGGTAATGGAGGGTAGGTGATGGGGGATGAGAACATAAGGGAACAAGATGGTCGAGCTAGAATAGAGATGGAGTGGGAGAGCAATCAAAAAGGCATCTTGATAGAGGGAGACATCATGACAATAGGGAAACACCTGGTGCAAGGGAAGTTTCCAGGAATCCGCAAGATTGACACCAGTTTAGACTACCAGCAATAATGGAGAGGGTTCCTGAACTGGCCTACTCCAGTAATCAAATTGGTGAATACCCTAATTGTCATCATAGAGCTTTCATCCAGTAACTGATGGAAGCAGATACAGAGATTCATTTAGCCAGAAGGTTTCTCTGATCCTGCCTGGCTCTGCAGTCTTTCAGCTGTCTATAAAATAATCATTCAGAGGCTTATATTAATTATAATTGCTCAGCCATTAGTTCAGGCTTACTGCTGACTAGCTATTACACTTAAATTAATCTATATTTCTTATCTATGTTTAGCCACATGACTTGGTACCTTTTCTCAGTTCTGCCTTGTCATCTTGCTTTCTCTGTGTCTGGCTGGTGACTCCTGACTCTGCCCTTCCTCTTCCCAGAATTCTCCTAGTCTGCTTGCCCTGCCTATACTTCCTGCCTGGCTACTGGACAATCAGTGTTTTATTAAACCAGTGTACATGAGCGTTATCCCACAGCAGATCTATAGCCAAGCCCCAGGCTGAGCTCCAGGAGTCCAGTCAAAGAGAAGGGAGAGGGATTCTATGAGCAAGGGGCATCAAGATCATAATGGAGAAATCTACAGAGACAACTGAACCAAGCTAGTAGAAACACATGAACTTTAGACCAACAGCTGTGGAGCTTACAAGGGACTGGACTAGGACCTCTGCATAAGACAGACAGTTGTATAGCTTGGTCTTCTTAAGGGGTCCCTGGCAGTGAGATCAAGATCTATCCCTGGTGCATGAGCTGTTTTTTTGGAACCCATTACCTATGGTTGGACAACAAGTACAGCCTTGAGGGGGAAAGGGGCTTGGACCTGCCTCAACTGAATGTACGAGGCTCTGCTGACTCCCCATGGGAGGCTTTACCTTATCAGAGAAGAGCATATGGGGTGGGATGGGGGAAGGCTGGCAGGGGAGTGGGAGGAGGGATGAGAGGGCAATCTGTGGTTGGTATGTAAAATGAATAAAAAATTCCTTAATAAAACATAAATACTTTTTATTAATTTTATTTTTTAATTTTTGATATTATAATTGAATTACATTTTTCTTTCCCTTTCCTTCCTCAAAATCCTCCCACATAACTCCCTACTGTCCTTCAAATTAATGACTTTTTTCACTAGTTATTGCATATATATATATATATATATATATATATATATATATATATATATTCCTAAATATAATCTGTTCAGTCTATGTAATGCTACCTGTATGGTTGTTTTCAGGGCTGAAAAATATTTTGAAAATTCTATTTAATAAATTAACTTTTTAAAACGTAGATGCGGTAGGTGGGGGAGAGCAGGAGAAGGGGAGGAACAGGGAACAAGGGTTGGTATGTAAAAGGAAAGAAATTTTTTTTTAAATAAAAAAAATAGACTTTCTTGGGGCTGGTTTGATGGCTTAGCTGGTAAAGGAGCAAGACAACCTGAGTTCAATCCCCAGGATCTATGTGTTGGCCAGAGAGCACTGACTCTCACAAGTTGTCCTCTGGTTTCTAAACATGCTCCATGACATGTTCACATCCTGTACACAAAGGCATATAAAGTAAATAGATAAATGAAAGGATTAAAAACTCCTTAAAAATAGAATATCTCTAAATTTAGCATTAGGTGATTTTATTTTTATTTAGACTACATGCAAGAAATTCAATATGGATTTATAAGCACAATAATTCTTTCAATGAGTAAAAACACTCATGAATAAATTCTCCATTTTCTTCACGTTTGTACCTGGATGATAATCCGCTCAGGTGTTTAGTATTTGCCCCTCCCTCTGGTTCTTATGAACATTTTGGTGGATTGAGCATGTGCGGGATTTTTCAGTTGCTTAGCTGCAGGAGGAGCAGGACAAAGCAAGTACTGTCAATGTCCATAGTCATTTAATTGTGTTCCCACTCAATAGAGACAATGTGAACATAGAGAAGAGCACACATAGTTTCAGTATTTCCAGCTGAATTCAAGCCCAATACTGAAATGTAGTGATAACACCCCTCCTAATATCATCTGACCCTGTACTCCGGTGAATTGCTGCCCATTCTGACTCTGATATTATATAAGTGACCTATACAAAACCTTCTCATTTCCTTCCTGATACTATAGACCCCATGTCCCTGAGCAGAACTCCCCAGAGCTTGGAAGAGAAGTGAGCCTCCTTACCTACTATTGCTGTTCACAGTAGATGGACTGGCTTCCTCCCTGGTCTCTTATTTCCTTCTTCAATGCTGTGAGATTTTCTCTGAATGTGGTTGATCAAATGTACAGCAACAGTATTAATAGATGTGAAGAATATGTAAGTGAAAGTGCTTGCTTCACAGCAGGGAATCAACAATCATAAAAATAGTTTCTGGAGCTGAGCTAGTGGGAGGGTTCATCAGGACTTCTCAGCCAGAGCTGGCAAACCTTTGCTTGGAAGAGGTCTTTGTAACCATTTGCTGTTTTGACCACTGTCCATTATAAATGCAGGCTTTTTATGTAGGCAGTGACTCTTAATATTGGGGGGGGGGCTGTGTGATCATCTGAGATGAGGAGGCAGGATATTACTTTTGAAATTAGTTGCCCAAAATAAATCCCCTCACTTGGCTGTTTCTTTTTTCAGAACTAGTTAGTGAGGAAAAGGGCACATTTGCCACCCTCCTATACACCCAGGACCTTCTACTATTACTCACTACTGTCAGCCAGTTCAGTTAGGATGGGCTCTGTATATTGTAAGGTTTTTCATGGCATTAGTGGTGGATTACATGAATTTTTTTAAATGGTGTTTTACAATTTTATTTAAATTCTTCTTTCTTAACATTTTAGCTTCACTGTTCTTGAAACTACTTCAAACTCATTAAGCTAATTTTTTTTTATTTTGCAGAAAATATTACTCAAACTCTTTGCAAAAATGACTTGAGTCATATTAAAACTGTGTTTTCCCAGAAAGGGTACGTAAGTCAGTTCCCAGTAAAGTTTGCTATGACTGTGGTAAAAGTGGCAGAAATCTGGCACTTAAGCCCTGCCTGCATCATCTTCATATCTGCTTCTCTGTCACAGAAACTCTACTGCTACTGAGTGTGGTCCCAGGGCTTGTGGCTGGCTAGTGGGTCACAAGGTCCATCCTTTGGAATCTTGGTTCACCATGTGATGATGGAAATAGATGATATGTATGACTGTTAAAACATAGAGTCTATTAAGAAATCATCATAGACATCTCCCCATGGATCTCCATGTCTTCATCTCTCACCTGTGACCTTCCCCTTCCTTAAACAATCCTGCCATGATGTGATCTGCTGAGTCCATGAGGCTACCTGAATGTGCACTTTAGTGTATGTAGGTGAATTTTCCTGTGTCCCACCTGGCCCATGGTCAGGACAAATCTCTCTTACCTGCCAGTTCTGTAGCTGCTTGGACCCAAGTAAACACACAGAGGCTTATATTAATTAAAACTGTTCGGCCATTAGCTCAGGCTAACTATTGACTAGCTCTTACACATAAATTAACCTATAATTCTTTTATTTATGTTTAGCCACATGGCTTGGTACATTTTCTCAGTTCTGCCTTCACATCTTGCTTACTCTGTGTCTGGCTGGTGACTCCTGACTCAGCCTTCCTGTTCCCAGAATTCTCCTCTCTGCTTATGCCGCCTATACTATACTTCCTGCCTGGCTACTGGCCAATCAGTGTTTTATTTATTAAGCAATCAGAGTGACATATTCACAGCATACAGAGCGATATCCACAGCACTTCCCCTTTTTTCTTCAAAAAGGAAGGTTTTAACTTTAACATAGTAAAATTACATATAACAAAACAATTATCAAGCAAGAATTACAGTTGCAATATTTAGTCTATAATATCTAGTCTATTTGTATTTGGCAAAATTAAGTAAGATATCCTATCTATCCTATATTTGTGAGTCTATGGTTTTGAAGTTTCTGCCTTTAAAGTGTGGTTCCTGAGGATATCTCACAGGATTACAATCAAGAAAGTGAACATCCAGCCCACTGGGATATAGAAGGCTAGGAAATCTTCACTGTAAACTTAGGCTATGTCTGAGGAAAGGAGTGATCACCTATCTATCTAAAATATATTTCTGTATGACTTTGAAAACATACCTAACATGACTATAAGTTTGATTGCTATAGATAATATTTCTTTATTATCCTAAATAGCTTTCAAGGACTAAAACTTTACATTATATTTTAAATGAGCTGCACAGGTACAATATCTTAAACAAGAATAGAAACATATATACAGTATAACAAAAATAACCTAAATTTTGTTTCAATATACAAAAATCCATACCAATCTAAAATATTTAAGACTAGATGTTGCTTTTTTTGTTTAACAGTAGATTCAATATTCTATCATTTTATCCTATCATTCCCATATCCCCCTTTTTCTTTTCCAAATGAGATCCCTGAATCTAATCTCCTTTTTTACTTTCTTCACTGATTACGACCAATAACAACTTGTAATCAACACACTAAATGATGATACATATCCATACTCCACCCAAAAACAAAATACCACTCAAACCATCTCTTGGGAATGTGGTTGTTGTGTGTTTCGACTGCTTCCTGTAGCCTAGGGGGCAAAGGCATCTTTAGTGGACCCTGAGAAAATTGAGAGAATGGTCAAGTCCTGGGAGAGCTAGTTGTATCATTTGTGTTCCAGCCTCTGTGCAATGGGAAAGTGAGTTTGGCTGGAGAGTAGTCTGTGACCATCTAGCAGGACCATCTCATCCATCAGTCTTGAAGCTGTTCTGTGAAGAACTCTGAAGAAACTGCAACAGAGGCACTCTGAGAGGCTGGATCACCTGGGCCACTCATTTCCCTTGGTGTCTGGCCCCTTGCTCTGAAAACACATAAACTTTCAAAGGTAACATACAGATCTGCATTAGTATAAGTATGAGATTCTATATGTGCACAAATCAGTTAAGGATGAATTTTTTGTTTTATGTTTGAGCAGGTAAAAGGCTTCTGCCAACTTTGTAAGTCTGTTTGGATTATATAACCAAACTGAAATATAAATCTCTATCCATGCCATATGAAATGAAGTAGCCAACAAAATTTAGCATGTCTCATCTCAGCTCTGAGTTGTTCCCATGTCAAGGGATCAGCTTACATGTCACCTGTTCTTTGGTCTTTCTTGGCTTCTCCCACCAGTCTGTGGCCAAGATACTCAGGAGGTCTCCCCTGGTCAAACCTGATCTCTACTAACCTGGAAAGAAAACACAGCCTTTCCCTTCCTGATGAAACAAAAGCATAACCTCTCCTCTAAGACAACACTTTGTCTAACTTCCATTGTGAAGTTAAGACATTTTAAAAGTATATAGGTTGGTTTAATTTAGCAGTCTCCATAATCCATTGTCTCTGAGTAGCCATTGTTTTCTTGTACATTAGCATTTAAAAAATTTAAAGTTAACAAGACACCATATAGGACCCAGACCCCCTGTATATATTTCATCCTGATGTGGCTTGTTTTTTATTACTTTTCTTTCACTTTAAAGACTTTATTATTTTTAAACTACTTTTATGACTGTCTATATCAATTTTTTTCTTAAGCCTAAACAGATTCAATGCAATCCCCATCAAAATACCAACACAATTCTTCACAGACCTGGAAAGAATAATACTTAACTTCATATGGAAAAACAAAAAACCCAGGATAGCCAAAAGAATCCTGTACAACAAAACAACCTCTGGAGGCATCACGATCCCTGACCTCAAGCTCTACTATAGAGCTACAGTAAAAAAAAAAAAAAAAGCTTGGTACTGGCATAAAAACCGACATGTGGACCAATGGAATCGAATTGAAGACCCTGACATTAATCCGCACACCTATGAATATATAATTTTTGACAAAGAAGCCAAAATTTTACAATGGAAAAAAGAAAGCATCTTCAACAAATGATGCTGGCATAACTGGATGTCAACGTGTAGAAGGCTACAAATAGATCCATATCTGTCACCGTGCACAAAACTTAAGTCCAAGTGGATCAAAGACCTCAACATAAATCCAGTTACTCTGAACCTGAAAGAAAAGAAAGTAGGAAGTAGTCTTGAACACATCGGCATAGAAGATCACTTCCTAAATATAACACCAGTAGCACAGACACTGAGAGAAACGATCAATCAATGGGACCTCTTAAAACTGAGAAGCTTTTGTAGAGCAAAGGACACAGTCAACGAGACAAAGCGACAGCCTACAGAATGGGAAAATGTCTTCACCAACCCCACATCTGACAGAGGGCTGATATCCAGAATATATAAAGAACTCAAGAAATTAGATATTAAAATGCCCAACAGTCCAATTAAAAAATGGGCTATAGAACTAAACAGAGAATTCTCAACAGAGGAAGTTCAAAGGGCTGAAAGACATTTAAGGAAATGCTCAACGTCCCTAATCATCAGGGAAATGCAAATCAAAACAACTCTGAGATACCACCTTACACCTGTCAGAATGGCTAAGATCAAAAACACTGAAGACACCTTATGCTGGAGAGGATGTGGAGCAATAGGAACTCACCTTCACTGCTGGTGGGAATGTAAGCTTGTACAGTCACTCTGGATATCAATATGGCACTTTCTTAGAAAATTGGGAATCAATCTCCCCCAAGACCCAGCTATACCATTCTTGGGCATATACTCAAGGAATGCTCAATCATACCACAAGAACACATGCTCAGCTATGTTCATATCAGCATTGTTTGTAATAGCCAGAACCTAGAAACAATCTAAATATCCTTCAACTGAAGAATGGATAAATAAAATGTGGTACATATACACAATGGAGTACTACTCAGCAGAGAAAAGCAATGACATCATGAGGTTTGCAGGCTAATAGATCGATCTAGAAAAAATCATCCTGAGTGAGGTAACCCAGACTCAGAAAGACAAACATGGTATATACTCACTCGTAGGAGGGTACTAGATGTAAAACAAAGATGACTAGACTTGTACTCACAACTCCAGGGAGGCTACCTAGAAAACAGGACCCTAAAAAAGACACAGGGATCACCCAATGACAGAGAAATGGATGAGATCTACATGAACAACCTGGATGTGAGTGGGGGTAATGAAGGGCAAGGTTGGAGGGAAAGAGAGCTTGGGGGAGCGGGAGGTCCCAGCTGGATCAAGAACAGAGAGGGAGAACAAGGAATAGGAGACCATGATAAATGAAGACCACATGAGAATAGGAAGAAGCAAAGTGCTAGAGAGGTCCACAGAAATCCACAAAGATACCTCCACAATAGACTACTGGCAATGGTCGAGAGAAAGCCCGAACTGACCTACTCTGGTGATAGGATGGCCAAACACCCTAACTGTCATGCTAGAAACCTCATCCAATGACTGAGGGAAGTGGGTGCAGAGATCCACGGCCAGGCCCCGGGTGGAGCTCCAGGAGTCCAATTGGCGAGAAAGAGGAGGGATTGTTTGAGCGAGAATTGTTGAGACCAAGATTGAAAAAAGCACAGGGACAAATAGCCAAACTAATGGAAACACATGAACTATGAACAGATAGCTGAGGAGCCCCCAACTGGATCAGGCCCTCTGGAAAAATGAGACAGTTGATTAGCTTGAACTGTTTGGGAGGCACCCAGACAGTGGGACCAGGACCTGTTCTTAGTGAATGAGCTGACTGTTTGGAACCTGGGGCTTATGCAGGGACACTTCACTCAGCCTGGGAGAAGGGGACTGGACCTGCCTGGACTGAATCTACCAGGTTGAGCTGAATCCCCAGGGGAGTTTTTGCCTTGGAGAAAATGGGAATGGGGGGTGGTCTGGGGGAAAGGTGGGGGGGGGGAGTGCGGGAGGGGGGGAGAACAGGGGAATCCATGGCTAATATGTAAAATTAAATTAAATTGTAAAATAAAAAAAAGTTTTCAATGTGTAATGGTGTCATGCTAAGTCCTTTAGTAATATCTGTTTAATTATGATAGCTATGCTCTTTATGTTTTATCTTTATTTCTTTCTTAAGACTCTATGAACCATGAACTATTTCCCTCTGGAAAATGGAAATAAAGAAAATCCAGGTTCATATAAGATTAAGTTTGCAAAGTGAAGACAGGAAGATCAAAAGGTCAAAATCATCCTCACTTATGTAGGGAATTAAAAACCAACCAGGGTGATAGCCCCTGTCTCAAAATAAATAAACACTATTTATAAGATATATACAACAGATTAAGTTTTTTTCCATCTTACCCGGAATGAGTTTATATCTAAAAGAGTTTATCTATGTGACAGTCTGTCTGTCCCTCCTCTTTCCTAGACTCTGCTCCCAAGTTCAGTAGGGAGTTAGATGAAGAAATTCATTATCTTCAGTCTGGGACTCTGATTTTCATAATCATCATCTGGCACCCTGCTGCCAAGTTGTGAAAGCTCATACTAAATTTCTTCTTCTGTCTGACTCTCTGTCTCTGTCTGTCTCTCTCATTCACTTTTGTCCTCACTCTCCTCGCTCTTTTTTTGGTGTGTGTAAACATGCATGCGTATGTTAGTGTTTCTTCATGTGTGCTCATAGACGTGAAGGCCAGAGATCTACTTCCAATCTTCCTCCATTACTCTCCACTATATTTTTTGAGACAGGGTATTTCACTGAACCTTGAACTCAATGATGAGGGTCACCTACTAGGGAATGAGTTTCAAGGATCTATCTATATCTGCCTCCCCAGCCTGGTATTACAAGGCAGTGCTGTGTCTAACTTTTACTTGGGTGCCCAGGAGTCCAGCTCAGGTCCTATGCTTGTGCGGCAGACATGTTACTGGATGAGCCATCCTCCATCCCCTAGACTAAATGTCTTAGTCTAAGATTCAGAGCCTTAGTCAGATTTTCAGGATTCATTCCTGTGGTGCCTAGTTATATAAGATATGAGTAGGTGGATGTATTAAGGTCTATAATGCTAAAATTTAAAGTCAAACACATGATTAAGATTACCTATGGGGGTCACAGGTAATCAATGAGAAAAAAACCTATACTGATAACTTAGATTTATCAATGGAACTCGTTTTTAGCCAAAGGAACCCCCCAGGAGAAGTGACCACAGCTGCCCAAAGAAAAGTGTAACTTGGGGGAGGTAGATATGAAGAATCCAAAAGGGAAAAATTTGAATATTAAAATTTACTAATGACTAAAAACAAGTTAAAGAAGTGTAATAAAAATTTAGGGTGGAGAAGAATTTAAGGAATTAAATAATAAAAAATAATTTACTATGGATACTACAACTAAATGAGAGATTCCAGCAGGAGCGTGAAATACTTCCAGATGAGATAAAGATTCTCTATGAAAGGGAAGCCTCACGCATATGTGTCATAAGCTAAAGGCTTAAAGAATACTGCTGTCCTGCCACTCAAAACAGATGAATGGGCTACAGAATTGGGAACAAGAGTAGCTCCAGTTGATAATAATTGGGTCCTGCATCAGAAAACAAACAAAAAAAATACACTTCAGTGTGATCGTTTGAATCATGTTTATCTTCCTATAAGATTGTGCACCAAGGATGTCATTGACATCTCTACCACAGGAGAGGTATCTACAGCACTGCTAGAAGAAAGTCCTTTTTCCAGATGATCTCCAGGAGACAAGTAGACACTGAACACATTCTTAAATGGTGGCACATAATTAGGAACCAAGCTGTCAAGGAGTGTGATGGTCTAAAGGACAGGGACAGCCATCCTCACTCCTTGCTGGAGACAACATAAAGTTCTACATTATATTAAAACTGCTCAAACTTTGAGCAATGGCATGATTTGTGGACATTGGTGGTAGGTAATCCTATCAACACACTTTATTATGAATGAAGACACCTGCTTGGAGATCTAGAATTCATACACACACACACACACACACACACACACACACACACACACACACACACACACACATATATATATATTTATATATATGTAAATATTATCCCCTTGAAGATGGAAGAAGTCATTGGCATGATGAATCAAGGAGATGAATCTACAAATCCATGGGTGAAGAATGAAATGTTTCAGTTCATTTAGATTGAAACTATAACAGGACATTTCCAAACATGAAGAGTTGACTCTAGATTACATAGTAACATGATACTTAAACATAATGTGGAACATTAACTTTAAAGATGGCCATTAAATTATGATGGGTAACCTGTAGATATCAAAGGTAATTTAATGATTTATCTGTAACCATAAACTTACACTAATCTTTCCTGTTATTAGCAGCTGTACTTGAAATCCTGTTGATTTTTCCCAAGCATAATAAAGATATTCCACATATTGACCAGCTTCTAGTACTACAAAATATGTATAAACTATATCCCAACTGCCAAAAAAATGCAGGGTAAGCGGTTTACATCTTTTAAAGGGATTGAGAACATTTTTGCAGGGAGGGTAAAGTACTTCCTGTGCAGGCATGAAGATCTAAGTTCAGATCCCAGCACCCACACAGCAAACCAGACATGGTGGGCACACCTGTAAGCCTGGCACCAAGGTTGGTAGCCAGCCAGTCCAGCCAACAAATGGGCTCTGGGTTTTCTGAGAGACCCTGTCTCAAAAATAAGGTGGGGAGGAATTGACAACAGATTTATGCTGTTTTCTGGAAGTGGATGCAACCAGAGATAATCACATTAAGCAAGTTAAATCAGTGTCAGAAAAACAAATGTATGCTTTCTTTAATATTGAACTCCTAGACTGCATACAGATATATAAAATTACATTTGTATATATGACATAAAAGCCAAAATGTAACTGTTTAGGGAAACAAAGAGGACTAATGGAAGGGGGTGGGCATGCTGAGAATGATAGGAGCATGGGAGTATGCTAAACATGCAAGATATGCTTATATGAACATATCCTATCATGACACAATTTGTATAATAAATATATGTAATGAAAATTATAAAAACAATTTGTGATCAGCAAAGAACATTTTAAAATAAGAATTCTGACAACCCAATTTGAATAACATTGGCAATTCAGATAAATCAACTAACTTTTCAGAGAAAGCACACAACGCTGAAACTCACCATATTTGTTACTTCCCTAATTGCTGCTGAAAAAAAAAAAATACCCAGCAAAGGCAACTTTTTAGAAACCTTTTAGAATTGAAATGAAGAAATGTACCAAATAATAATGTGAGATTTTAAATGAGTTAAAAATGAGTGGAACAACAAATGAGAGGAATTAGGTAAAAATAATATTTATAAATCAATGTATAATTGCCCACTCTGTTAAAGACAAGTACAGTTCTTCTGAAACTTCACAAAATGATCCTGATCATGACTCAGAGAATTCTTAGTCACAGGGGTCAAAGCAGAGCTCTGAAAAGACACCCTGAGATTTCTAAGACTTGTGTAGGAGCTTGTGTGGTGGCACACATACTTGAGGTGCTGTGACCCAGGTCTCATCAGTTTGAGGCTAATCATCGTGATACTCTCTATCTTTTTAAAAATGTATGTAACTGATACCAGAGTTCATTAAAATAATAGAAAACGTATCAGGAAACAATTATGAGTAAGAAAACTGCAAGCCCATGCTTTAATAATCTGAGTCCTTTTCACGTATAAACCGTTTAAATAAATTCCTCAATGTTAAGTTTCCTAATGCTCTTGTTGGCAATCTTGGGGTGCTCAGTCATGTAATGTCTAGGGTTCTTGCTTTCCTCCATTCTTCCATTCTCTGAGAAGTCCATTTTACTCACTGCAGTGAACCCTCTTAGGGCAGTGACTAGGTCAAATGAATCTTCACACTCTCCTATACATCTTGAAGAGTTTTGTATACAAAGTATTTGTGCTCAGTAAACACCTACATTCACAGTGCCAATTGTTTTCCTAACTTGAAGGTCTTGCCTCTGTTCTGCTTGAATTATGTGATCCCTGTTGCTGTGTGCAGTGAAGCTTGCTATAGAGTTTGTTTTGTAAATGGCAGCTAGCATAAAAGCATTCCAACCCAATATTCATAATCTTGGGACTTGAAAAAACTTCCAACAGCCTTATGTACAAACAACTGCACAAACCAAATTCCAACCCAGTCAAAAGGAAAGCACCTGGTTTCTTGACATCCAGGCTGTTTCTGAGAAGCCTAGTCTGTCTGCTTTCACTTCTGCAGGAAATAAAAAGAAGTCCGGTTTGGCCTGAATATAGCAGGAAATCTTTCCTTACAAAAGAATTGGAGGAAGCCTGGGGCTTTCCTTATCCATTGTTTGGAGACTATGTAGACTTCAAATTCAGAGAGGGTGAAGGGGCAGGAATACATGGGAAGAAAGTTTCTGATCATGTTTGTAAAACACAGCCATATAGAAATCCAATTTGAACCTATACAGAATTCAACTGAACAATGGCCACTTTACTGTTTGCTGAAATCCCAGATGGAGCAGCTGTGTAGACACCATGTTCTGATAAACTATTAAGAACACATTAGGGGCTGGAAGAATGGCTTGGCAGCTAAGGGTGGGGCTTTCTGCTCTTAAAAAGACCAGAGTTTGTATCTCAGCATCCAGGCAGAGCAGCTCACAAGTGTTTGTAACTCCAGCTCCAGGGATCCCACGACCATTTCTGACTTCTGCAGGGACCTGCACACAGGAGATAGACAAACACATACACATGAGCAAAGAAAATAAATCTTTCAAAAACACATCTAACACCTCCAAGCTATATTTATTGTTCTCCAAAGTGCAGACAATAGCACATATAGAAGAACAACCCACTAACAAATATAAAGATGGAGTACACCTGTCATATAACAGATAATAATCACATATGGACTTTGCTGGGTTTTCAAGTTACTACCTTTAAAGGGTGATTCCTAAGGACACCTCTCAGGATTACAATCAAGAAAGTAAACCTCCAGCCCACAAGGCTATAGGAAGGTGAGAAATCTTCATTGTAAACTGAAGCTATGTCTGAAGAAAGAAGTGAGGAAACAATTCCTCAGGTCATATACACTCAGGCTTTGACCTCAGCCACATGAAACACAAGGGTGAGGAGCTCCTTTCCCTTTCCATGTCTGCATAATCTCTGTGTCTTTCTGTCCAGCTGTTCCAGTTGGCGGCAAACTCATATACCTCTATTTTTTGGTGCCACCATCTCTGTTGTGACCCATTTCAGTTCTGACAGCTGCTCCCTGGACCTAGCGCAATTTTGAAGATTCTGTTGATCTGCATTCCTGTGCTTTAGTTTTAACTGTCACACACAATGCCTGAATGAAGGTCCCTGTTTTGTGTGTGGTTTTGTGATCTGATACCACACCTGGAGGGAATTGAAAGGATTCAGAAAGTTAATGACAAAAAGAGACACCTTTTGACAAATGCATGCAAGTGACAGCGTTAGAAGGGGCTCGTGGGCTGAGTTTAGCTGGAGTCTACTCTTAAATCTTGTCCAAAATACTGAGTATCAGGTGTTTTATACTGAATAATGGGTGGATAATCCCCATTCATTTCTTGCTGGGCAGAGTTTTTGTCTGCCTGCCTGCCTGTTCTCATCTTTTCTTTGACAAGAGCAGGGCGGAAGTGTCTATTTTCTTCTCTGAAAATATTCTTCAACTCTTGCCTCCTGTGCAAAAGTTAGTGAAGAAATGAGAGGCAAAGAGAGGAGAAGGCTAGAGGGAGGAAGACTGGGCAACCAACCTCTGGTTGTATCACCTATCACAGCTGAGAAAGGGGAAGCTGAGGCAGGATTAATATTTGCATTGGTTCACTTCCTCCTTCCACGTTTATTGAATTGATCAGGGCCTCAGTTCTGCCTGCTTTCTGCTTGGGTGGGAGTGATGGATTAGAGTTTTTGTACGGTCCCTCTTTTTGTAACAAAATGTCCATGGGAAACAGTTATAAAGCTTTATTGGGATGCTACAGAGAAAAATCAAAGGAGGTTGAGCAATGTATTAAACAGCCAGCTTTTTTATTATATATAGTGCCATATACGTAATGACATATCAAGACTCTGATAGTTAGAATTTAATACTTTCAATTACAGAGTGACAATGCCTGGAATGAAAAGTACCTAAGTATATTTGCTCATTTTTGCTCAAACTGATGATGGACATAATACAATTAGGGACATATATAAGTCTGAAAGAATGTATCATTTGTGAACTGAAGATCCTAAAAAGAAGCCAAGCTGAACCCTCCTATAAATGCTGGTGACTGACCTGAACTTCGGTGATTGCAGACAGGTTGGGATATTAAGAGCCAGAGCATAGTTAAATGACCTTGGCAGCTTTAAGTAGCCATTTATTGTACCTCTCTATGTGTGACCTAACATTCTTTTGAAATACGAACAGACTCTCTGACTTCCACCAACCCAAAATCTAAGAATGTCCTCTTGTGAGGTCTATAGCAGAGATTCCCTGCCTTACTGCAACCTCTCACCTAAGGTTTCAATGAATGTATTTGAGAAGTTTCTTGATTTATGACTTTAATTCTGTCACTGTAGAAACTTCATGAAATTGTTACCACACTGGAATATGAAATGTGGGGTAACCTAAATCTGTGCTCCCTAGTCATGCCAGGGTGGGCTTTTTGGTGTTGCATCTATCTGCCTTTAAGTCACCCACTCATGGGTTTACTATCCTGGACTTGGATGGGACCATTTTTCAATATGTCATGGGCCCTCTGTCTTAGTTAGGGTTTCTATTGCTATGAAGAGAAACCATGACCACAGCAACTCTTATAAAGGAAAACATTCAATTGGGGCTGTCTTACACTTTCAGAGGTTTAGTCCATTATCATCATGGTGCATTGTGGCATGCAGACATGGTGCTGGAGAAGTAACGAAGTGTCCTATATCTTGGCTTGCAGGCAACAGCAAGTGGTCTGAGACACTGGGTGTGGCTTGAGCATATGTAAGACCTCAAAGCCCACCTCCACAGTAACACACACTTCTTCAGATAAGACCACACCTACTCCAGTAAGGTTACAACTCCTAATAATGCCACTCCCTTTGGGGGCCATTTTCTCTCAAACCACCACATACTTTTTTATGGTGAGTATATGTTTGTTCATATCTTCCTAGAAAAAGTCACAGAACACAACTGTCACCTGTACAGATACCAAAAGAACCAAAGACGAGTTGGGAAGGACTGGTGACATGGTCCCTGCAATAGGTGCTGAGACAGGCAACTGAGGCTGATCCATGTCACTTTGCAGGCCCAATCCTTATAAGGTGTTGCTGGGTCCTAACAGCTCCCTTAAGGGAGGGGGTGAGAAAGTGCTGCATCAATGACACAGACACCGGGAGTCAGGTGAAAGGCAAACAACAGACTCGATTATTCCATAACTGGGAAAGCCTTATATACCCTCCTCCCAGCACTCAGGCTGCATTCTGATCCAGTGACATTGTTTGGTCACCTCTCATTGATGATATTGCATGGTCTCCTCTCATAGGCTAGGCATGATCAGGACATCTGACAGCACCTGTTGCTCGGCCCTCAGGCACACCCCAGGTTGGCTCATAAGGAAGTAGGTTATGTGCATGCCCTTGCAACTGGTTTGAGCCTTATCTTCCTGCAATAAGGCTCCTTTCATCCATGCAGCATGGATGTTGTGCCTCCTGCTGTAGTGGTGTTCACATGCTCCATGAGAGGAGGAAACATGCAACCTGAATAAGTCATCCTGAGAATCAGAGATGTACTGGGAAATACCAGTACAGCCATCTTCCTCTATGTGGTGCGGAGTGGTGTGCATCTTTGATGGATTGGGTCCATCCCCTAAGTGTAGAACACCCCTGAAAGTAGATGGACTAAATATATTACAACTGCTGAGAGTACCACACAAGACAAGGGTTTGTAAAAAAGTTTTGGTAGTAGTATCTGTGTGATCTCTGTTGTGAGCTGTTAAGACATGCAACCAAGCTTTAGCTGTTTTCACAAAATGAACTTGACAAAGTAATCAAGGTCTTAGAGTGGGAGCAAGGATCCCTGCTAACTGCTTCATTTGTCCCTGATTTGGCAGGAAAAGTAGAAGAGAAAGGATGAGTTGGGGCTTTGGCGCTTCTCACAGCTGACCGGATGTCAACATAAGGAATATAAACAAGTTAGATCTGCGATGAGCTCTTCTTGAGATTCAAAACTGTGGGGCCCACGGCAAGAACTAAAGAGTGAGGATGAAGAGAGTGAAGCAAGCTCATCATAGATGATAATAGCTCTCAATTCCAACCTTTAACACAGAGAAAGGGAAAATGTGGCATGTATATTGGGTATGTTTATAATGGCTCAGTCTGAAACTATGATGATTAAGAAATAGTCTGCATCTGAACTTTGTGAAATGGAGAAAACTCATTACCAAACAGAAAATGATCCTCACTGACTTGTGGGACAGGGCGGTGGGTGGGACAGGGTAGTGGGTGGCTCAGGGTAATGGGTGTGACAGGGTGGTCAATGGAACAGGATGTTGGGTGGGATCAGTTTGAGTGTGGGTGAAGGAGAGAAATATAACCACCCATGTATTCTTTTTTTTTCTGAGACTGGGTTTCTCTGTGTAGCTTTGGTGCCTGTCCTGGATCTAACTCTGTAGACCAGGCTGGCATTGAACTCACAGAGACCCACCTGCCTCTGCCCCCTGAGTGCTGGGATTAAAGGTGTGCACCACCATGCATTTTTAAGATAAGCCTGCATAGCCTGAGGCAATACCAGGGAAATCATTCCCTGAGAGACCAGCTCACATGAGCCATTGGGGACACTAGGATCACACTACCTGTCGACTCCATGAATAGCAGAAACTGGAAGACGATAGAGGAAGGACAGACATTAATGAGGACCCTAGGTAGGAAGGAGACACTGTGTGGTGTTCAGTTCACAGGGCCAGAGAGGACTGTGTTCACAGAAAAGTTAAGCTGGTGGTTAGTTCAGCAGGGACCTCAGCACTGTTAAGGGGCTTTAGTGTGTTCACTCTACTTTGAGAAGCAATTAGGAAAGGAAGGAAGAGCACAGAGACAAATACTTGAACACTTTTACAATGACTCCCTCAGGGGAGGGGGTAAGAAGGCGTAGCATCAACGGCACAGACACCAGGAGTCAGTTGAAGGCAAATAATGAACTCCCTTATTCAATAATGGGGAAGGCCTTATATACCCTCCTCTGAGCACCCAGTCTATATGGTCATCCCTCATTGGCTGGGCACAATCAGGAACTCTCTAGGCCCTCTGGCAGACTCCACATGTCAGAAACTCTGACAGTGACCAGGAACTCTGATAATGTCTGTTGCTAGGCCTTCAGGCAGACTCTAGGTTGGCTCATAAAGAAGTATATTATGCGCATGCCTTGGAAACTGGTCTGAGCTAATTTCCTCGACTCTATGGGCCTGTCCTACTACACACTTTCACACTACCATTGGGACTAGCTTCAGGGACTGAGGCAAGACTACGCATACCCTCTGTAAGTTTGGTATTGTTAATGAAAAAATTAAAAATATCTGAGGCTGGATATTTTATACAGAAAGGAGATTCATTTGGCTGCCAGCACTGGAAGCTAAAAATCCAACAGTGGTAGTTCACTGTCTGTTGAAAGTATGGTAGCTACATTACAACATGGCACATGCCATCTTGCCAAGAAGACCCAAATTGACAGAGATGTCACATGGTGAGAGAGGGAGACTTCCCACAAGAGCCCACAAACCACAGCCCCAAGGAAAGTTTTCATCTGTCTTTCACACTTTGTCACCCCCCACCCCATAGCCACACCTCTTGAAGCTCTCCACTTCCCAATATCACCACACTGAGGCCAGCTTGAAAGTCACACTTCCACCACATCCAAGACGGCACCCTATCTGCTCACGGTTGTAGTCAGAAAGGGCTGACCTCAGCATGGAATGTAAGGAGCTATTAGAAATTAATCTGTCAGTGAGGTTTTCATAGCTATTCATTCACTCAGTAAACAGACAGGCAGCATAGTGAGGGGTTCACGACACAGCTTAGGAGTCAGGAGTGCTTCCATGAAGATTCCTTAGATATTATAATGTGATGCCTGAGAGTCTCCCTCTGCCTTTATTTCTAGGAACTCACGGGGCAATGTGTGTTATGACATTAAGATATGTGATCCATAAACAGACATCAGCATTGAGCCTGGGACATCTGTATGAAAAAGGACCCTACCACCTGACTGTACTGAGCCTAAGAACCAGCTGCTGGGTGTCAGGAAGTTGGAAGTCACACTGTCCCCTCACTTACTGCACCTCTAAAAGAATATGCAATCCCATTGTTAGTTTGTGATTTTCAGAAATTAAACTACAAAGGTTATATATATATATATATATATATATATATATATATATATATATATATATATATATCCTTCCTCTTCATCTATACTTTTCCAAGCATCCCACAAACCAAAATCATTCCATATCAAGGAAATGGGTTTGGGTTTTTTGTTTGTTTGTTTGCACACACACACACACACACACACACTTTTTTTTTTTTTTGGCTGTGTTTGGTTCTATCCAGCATCTCTGGCTATACAGCTTCTGCTCTGGTTCCTGGCCACCCAGACAGTGTCAGGCTTGGGCTCCCTCTTGTGGTATGATTTTAAATAACAAAGGGGTTCAAGATCTCTTGGAACCAAATACTGAAAGTTCTGGTGGGGAAGTCAGGTCAAACTCTTCCCCCAACACAGCTCACTGGGATTTTCCACCATGGTTGATTCACTTCCGTGGCCAAATGGTTTCAGTTTCTCAGTGCTTCACCCTACTACAAAAGTTACAGTGCTCTTCAGCTTTTGTTCACTTGGGGAAATTCAGAAAGCCTCTCCAGATTGCAGGAGGACATGATAGACAAGAAGCAGAGCCCTTCCACCAACTGAGCAGCAAAGGCAGGTAAGAAGGGACCCTTGCTCTTTCGAGGTCTGAGGAGTTCTCATCCGGAACATGTGGCCATAACCTGGGCAGGAATGAGATGGCATTTTTGAGGGTTAATTCATTTTGTAAGAACTACTATGACTAGAAAAGGCTGCTCCTGGCATGGCAAATGAACCCTAGGTGATATTATCAGGGCAGCCAGGCTCTAAGGGACACCACTGTACTCATTATGAGTTAGGGACCAGGAGCCATGTGGCTGAAACAGGGCAGGATAGGCATTGGGATTGTCTTTCTCGGTGTTCACCTTATCTCTGCTAACAGGGACACAGTTAAATGGCTGCTGTGGGATGTTCTGTATGGCAAATGTGTTGCTGATTAGTCAATAAATAAAACACTGATTGGCCATTGGCTAGGCAGGAAGTGTAGGCGGGACAAGGAGGAGAATAAAGCTGGGAAGTGGAAGGCTGAGTCAGAGAGACACTGCCAGCCGCCATGAAGACAAACAGCATGTAAAGATGCCAGTAAGCCACGAGCCATGTGGCAAGGTATAGATTAATAGAAATGGATTAATTTAAGCTATAAGAACAATTAGCAAGAAGCCTGCCACGGCCATACAGTTTGTAACCAATACAAGTCTCTGTGTTTACTTGGTCGGGTCTGAGCGGCTGTGGGGCTGGCAGGTGAGAGAGATTTGTCCTGACTGTGGGCCAGGCAGGAAAACTCAAGCTACAAATGGCTATGATCAGTGATGGAGCAGAGCTGGCACAGAAAGGGCTGCCTGTGGCTGATTTTCATGAGGGGAACAGAATGAGATGCAGGGTGAACAGCCACTGCTATGGTGAAGGACAAATAGAGGAAACACAGTGTTGATGTAGGAACACAAAGGGAATAAGAGATATGATCTGTTCTAGAGCTGAACATGAGTGATCGATGGCCCAGAAACACAAGCTCTGCCTACCACACATACCATGTTCCAACTTGGCAAGTTTCTTGAAGTTTTGTAGCAACAGAATAAAGAAAGTGATAAATCAATGTACTTTTAAAATGCATTGGTGGCAACGTGGGGCAGGCAGAATGTGCCAAAAGAGGAGTTTGCTACAAGCCTTCTGATGCAAGAAACGGCCATGGAGTCAGCTAAAGATTGCCTAGGAAAATTTGGCTCCAGACTTAACAACATCCCAACTCTCCACAATCACACAAATTCTTAATCAGTCAGCCTTGTGGGTTCTTTTATAGAGTTGTGGCTGTTTTTTGGGAACCTCAGTTCACAGCTGAATCTCCTAGTGAAAGATGAAAGATGGGTGTATCCATCACACATCTAATCTTGACTGCCAAGTGAATTTCCTCCTTCAGTCAGAAGATGGGTTCATTCTTCATATCCACTTACTTCTTAACCCTCTCCTACAGGATCAGCACCTATTTTGTAGTGAACGGCTTTCTTAGAAGAATTCTGGGCACAAAAGGCTGAGGACAAAGCTTGTTTACACTGTCCCCAACTCCAGGCCCTCAGGCAATTGTTCCTGTCTTCTGGAGACCAGAACCCCAGTCCAGGTACCATTCTCACTCATCCCATTCCTGTTTAATAGTCTTGTTCTGTATGGTCAGCTCTTAGCCTCTGTTTCCAGTGTTTTTCTTCCTCCTCTTGTATTTCTCCTTTCTCTACCAAATGAAAACTAAACAGAAAACCTAAAGGAGAATGGCAGGAAGTGATTTCTTTGAACCACTTTCTTTCTTGTGGTCTTGACAAACTCTCCAGTTTCTTGATATTTACATCACAGTTGCTTTCTGCAATATCCAGTATTTGCATAGTTGGGTTTATTTTGCAAGTTCTCATTTGCTGTGAGACTAAACCCAGTTTTTATTCATTGCTCATTCATAGCTAATGAAGTTTAAATTTCAAGGCACTGCTCTTGTACAACTATTTCTTTGGAAGAGTCACTGTCACATATTTCCATAAATCTTGCAAAAAACACATTACGTTGGTTCTCTTTCATGAATGGCAATGTGATTAATTCTGTGGATAGAGACTCGTGGCCACAACATGAGAATAACTACAAGGATAGATAGAGTGAATACATTTTATAATCTCTAGAAATTCGGGCCACAACATGGGTATAACTACTCGGAAATATAGAATGAATATACTTTATAATATCTAGAATTTGTGTAAGGGCATGCATCAAACAATGAAGCATTAACTCCATGGTCTTTATTCATTATAAATTCATTATTCATCATATGGTAAACTAATGAGTAAATGGATATTTGATTGATTAGATAAGCTGCAATATAAAATAATTTCTCTAAATCTGATTTCATTGTCCATTTGATGTCTAGTACAAAATCTTTAAGAAAGAAAATTTTCAGTGCAAAATTGAACAGAATATTTGTGTTGTGAGCAGTAGATTGCCGTCAGTGTCACATTATAAATGAAATTCCTCAATAATATAAGATTCTAAAACCATACAGGTTCTTCTTAACCTATGTCTCTGATGCATGTTGTGTTTTTTGAGAGTTTCATAACTCTACTTCTGAGTGAACAAATAAGATTCTAGTTAATCTCATCCCTCCCTCTATAGACAGGGGACAAGCCTGCACAATGGCCTCAGAGGTCCACATGCCAGGCCCTGTGTGCCTCATCGAGAACGTGGAAGGGCAACTGACAGCCAACCAGGAGGCCCTGGGGATCCTGTCAGCCATCGAGCAGCCTGTGGTGGTGGTGGCCATCGTGGGCCTTTACCGCACAGGCAAATCCTACTTGATGAACAAGCTGGCTGGGAAGAAGACAGGTGAGTGCCACCAACAAAGCTGAGCTGGGTCCCCTGTGTCCACTCACACTGTCTGCTTCCTGCATGAGAGTGTGAAGAATTTAATCTTCCAGTCACAGTTGGCTGTTGAGATCCTTTTTATTGACATTGTTGCTTTGTCCGTTTGCTTTCGTTTTTGAGACCAGTCATGCTATATAGCCCAAGCAGGCCTTTAGCTCAGCGTGTAGTCCAGGCTGACCCTCAACTCATGATCCTCTTGCCTTGGCCTCCTGAGAGCTGATTGCAGGACTGTATCCCCACATCTAACCCCTAGTTTCCCTTCCAAAAACACAAATGGTTCATTTCCTAGATGGAGAAAGACAGTAATAAAGGTAATTTAATTTATGTGTTAATAAACTTTAAAGTATTGCTAAAACAGTCATGTAATAAAGTTTCTACTGATGTTTAAGGTTAAAGCGGCTATCTATATTATATGTATTGACTTTATTATTGTAAATTATATTAGATTTATCTTCATAATTTTTTAAGAACCTGGTTCTGTGGCATTAAGCAAATTCGTGCATCTATCTCCACCATCCATCTCGAGAACTAGTTCATTGCCCATCCTATACCACTATTCTATAGGCTGTATCTATGAATTTGGGTGTCCTAGGAATACCACGTGAATACGGAGACTCATACACCTTCAAGGCTTGTCACTGTGAGAATGTGTGTCAAAGTTTTCTTCCTTTTTGAGATTCAGTGATAAAATATGTCTAACATTGCCTCATCCATTCACCCGTAGACAAGACAGTTGAGTACTTTGAATGATGATGACATGAAGATGACTATAGAGACACCTGTCTGAGTCCAGGCTTTCAGGTTTTCTAGGTTTTATTAGTCTCATCATTGATCAAATGACTGACAGCAGCAATGTAAGGAAGGAGGATGTACTTTGCTCACAGTTCAGGGGATATCAGCCCACTATGGCAGGGGAGACAGGACTTTATGGCTATATGTGTAGTGGAAGGAGCCTGCAGCTTGTTCATACCATGGCTGGCCAGAGAGCAGAGGGCCACAAACAAGGACAGCAATAACCTTAAAAGGCCTGCCCTCTGCCAGCCAGGTCTGTGGTGGTATTGTGTTCCCCAAAATATTGTGCACCCTAATAAACTTACCTGGGGTCAAAGAACAGAACAGCCACTAGATACAGAAGCTAGAAAATGGTGGCACTCACACCATTAATCCTAGCATTCCACAGGCAGAAATCCCTCTGGACCTCTGTGAGTTCAAGGCTACATTGGAAACAGCCAGACATGGTGACACACACCTTTAATCCCAAGAAGTGAGCCTTTAATCCCAGGGAGTGATGGCAGAAAGCAGAAAGGTATATAAGGTGTGAAGATCAGAAACTAGCAGCATTTGGCTGGTTAAGCATTTGGCTGGTTAAACTTTTAGGCTTTTGAGCAACAGTTCAGCTGAGATTCATTCTGGATGAGGACTCAGAGGCATCCAGTCTGAGGAAACAGGATCAGCTGAGGAACTGGCAAGGTGAGGTAGCTGTGGCTTGTTCTGCTTCTCTGATCTTCCAGCATTCACCCCAATAACTGGCCTCAGGTTTGATTTTATTAATAAGACCTTCTAAGATTCCTGCTACACAGGTCCTAAATCCTAATGCTTCCACAAGTCCCAACACAGTGCCACTAACTGGGGACGAAGTGTTCAAATACATGGGCCTGTGATGAATATTAACATTCAAACCATAACATTCTGCTCCTGAGACCAAAATGCAATTGGACCAACTTCAAAAGTCCCCATAGTCTTATAGTTCTAACAGTGTGTAAAAGTCCACCATGACATCTGAGACTCAAGAAAACCTGTAATTTACAGTGTCACAGAATAAACATCCCCATTTGCAGTGTTCAGGGGGACAGGAAGGACAGAACACACCACAGCAAGACTGAACCCAGAAGGACAAACCTAACCTTATAGCTCCATGTGCAGCATATAGGGCTTGTGGTGGCCCTCTCTAGAGCACAGCAGCTTGCAGACCCTGCCTCCTGGTTCCTGCGGTTTACAGGACACAAGGGCTCCCCCTAGGGTTAGGTCCACTCATTGACTCCAACTTTCCTCAGTGAACATCCCAGTCCTGGCATCTCTAACTTCCTGGGTCTCCACTGTTACTGCAGCTTTACCCCACAGCCTCACACAGCAAGCTCAGGAGCTGCACATGAGGGACTGACCCTGCTGCACATTTTCTGTGGAACCTTGATGCAAGCCCGGAAGACCACTGCATTCTGCATCTCTGAAAACTGAGTTTCTGTTATGACTCTGACTGTGAGATCAGCACCAGCTTTGGTTTCAGTTCATTCTCCAGACTACATTGTGCTGATTTTTCAAAAGAGATTTATTTATTTTATATTCACATGTACAAGTATTTTGTGTGAGTACAACCCTGCATGCCTAGTATTCACAAGTATTAGAAAGGAACATAAGGTTTCCAGAAACTGTATTTATAGACAATTGTAAGCTGTTATGTAGATTCTGGGAACAGAGTTCTGGTCCTATGCAAGAACAGCAAGCACACTTAACCACTGAGGCATCTTCCCTGGTTGTGTTTGATTATGCTAATTTTATTATCACTTTCTTGAAGCACCTGTTTCTACACATCTAATCTCTCCTTTCCTCTCTGCTTTTCAGGCTTCTCTCTGGGCTCCACAGTGCAGTCTCACACCAAGGGGCTCTGGATGTGGTGTGTCCCTCATCCCCAGAAGTCAGACCACATCCTAGTTCTGCTTGACACAGAGGGCCTGGGAGATGTGGAGAAGGTAAGGATTGAGGGCTCAGTGTGCAATTCAGCCACTCCTTTCTGAATGGTCTACACTGTTCTCTATGCTGCTTTAAAAAACCTTTATGTATGTAGGTATTTATTTATTTACTTACTTATTTAGTGTGTGTGTGTGAGTGTGTGCCTGTGCGTGTGTTGCATGTGCCATGCCTGTGCTTCAGTGCACATGTGGAGTCAGAGGACAACGTGTGTGGTCAGTTCTCTTTTCCACCACGTGGCTTCTAGGGATTGAACTCAGGCTCTAAGACTGGGCAGCAAGACATTTTTACCCACCAAGCCTTCTCACTGGAACTGTCATTTTTAAATAAGAGTTTGAACTTTATCATAGCATCCTTTTCATATGTATTATATAACACATGCTATGTTTAGTCAACCAAGAGAAAGGAACTAGTTACAAGACTGGGTCACAGAACAGCAGTTTCCACAGTGTTGAAACACTAACAACAGGCTAAGAAGCACCAGTGAGAAACATCACAAATAAAACCACAAACCAAGAGAACGTTCACCCTGCAAGTGCTGTGGACAGCACCTGTAGGTTCAGTACAGTCTTCTGTTTTGTTTTGTACCTTGCATAGGTCATAAAAGGTTTCATTTTTTTTTAAAGGCTAAAATCCCCTCTAATTGAGTATGTTTTACCACTGCTGAAAAGTAACATAAGAACAGAACACACTCCTGACCCATGTGTATTCTCACTTCCAGGGCGACAACCAGAATGACTGCTGGATCTTTGCCCTGGCTGTACTTCTGAGCAGCACCTTCGTGTACAACAGTATGGGAGCCATCAACCAGCAGGCCATGGACCAGCTGCAGTATCCTTTCTGAGGTTCAGTACACCAGTGAGAGTGGGGTGAACTACCCTCATGAACCAGCTCCATGACTCTGGCTCTTGGTTAATGAAGCATAAAACAAAACAAGAAAATAACCCACATCTATGTAGCTACAGTATTCACACTGAGGTTAAGAACAAAGCAAATGAAGGTTTGAGGCTAGGGCTCAATATGTAGAACTCATACAGGATGTGGACCCTGGGACTTTGGTTGGTGCTATGGTTGTTTCATGGCTTTCCTTAATTAGCTGTTCAGCTATGTGACAGAGCTGACAGACAGAATCAGAACAAGATCTTCACCTGACCAGGATGAGGTGGAGGACTCAGATGAATTTGTGAACTTCTTCCCGGACTTCGTGTGGACTCTGAGGGACTTCTCTCTCGAGCTGAAAGTAAATGGGGAACCCATCTCTGCGGATGAATACCTAGAGAATTCCCTGAAGCTTATACATAGTAAGCGACCTACAATTTATTTGTCTTTCACTTTCTCCTTTACCCTCAATTTGTCTTCTCTGCCTCAAACTTGTTTTTATGCCAGAATACAGAATAAGGTGCACCGTGAGTATATATTTGAAAAAAAAATGTGTATTAAGGATATTACCAATATCCTAGCTCAACTGTTGGAATAGTGTAGCCTCCATGTAACGGATGTGCTGCCAGGCATCTTTAGAAATCAAATGATGTCGTATTCTAGGATTACATATTATCTACACACAGAGTCCAGCTATATATACTAAGTGGGTTGAATCTAGCAGAGCATTCAGCCTTTCCCTAGATTGAAAATCCTTAAAGCAGATACCACCACCCCCTTTCTGTTTTCCTTGTTTTGTGTTTTCAGGGTCTCACTATGTAACCCTGACTGGCCTGAACTTATAATCCTCCTGCCTCAGCTTCCAGGATGCCAGTATTATAAGCTCACATGACCAAATTAATATAAATATATATATATATATATATATATGTACATATACATATATATATATTCACCTTTCAAATTCTGTCTAAAAATCCTGCTTTTCACTCCTTGTAGATACTGGTAAAAAAGAAAAAGAACAAAAGCTTAATCTCCCTCGGCTCTGTATCCAGAAGTTCTTCCCAAAGAAGAAATGCTTTGTCTTTGAGCGGCCAGCACACGGGAAGAAGCTTGGCCAGCTGGAATCGCTGCAGGAGCAAGACCTGGACTCAGACTTCGTGGAACAAGTGGCAGAGTTCTGTTCCTATGTGTTCAGCTGTTCCAAGGTTAAAACGCTTTCAGGAGGCATCAAGGTCAATGGACCACGTGAGTCCCTTCCAGTCCTTCTGCTCACTGTTTAGGCCACAGCATCATGAGATAGCAATGACCTGCTTGTAGACCTGTCACCACTGTAGGGCTAAGCTGTAGATGGTACCAGCATTTATAATAGACTTTGTCTATCACGTTTTCTTGTTGGGAAAAGAGAAATGGGGGTAAAAGAAAAAACTCCTTTTTAAATTACCCAGCAAATTGGACCTGCGTTCACCAAGGATAGCCACTAAGCAAGTATGGCTCTTAAAAGTTAAATGAAAATACAGGCTAGAGAGATGGCTCAGAGGTTAAGAGCCCTGACTGCTCTTCCAGAGGTCCTGAGTTCAATTCCCAGGAACCACATGGTGACTCACAACCACCTAATGAGATCTGGTGCCCTCTTCTGGTGTGTAGGCATACATGCAGGTAGAATACTGTATATGTAATAAATAAATAAGTCTTTTTTAAAAAAATGTACATGAAAATACAATAAAATCTACATGGAGCTATTTGTTGTCATATTAGCACATACAGAAAGTTCTCTTGGGCAATGCTATATTTTCTATTTAACCTGATGGAGAATTTCTGACTGGGAGAGCACATTTTGTTCCTGAATTGGAATCAAAGGCTCCCAGGGCTGGTGACACAGACAAACATGAAAGAGGTATGGAGCGTGTTGTCATGGTACTGGCATTCCATAGACACAGGTGCATGTAATCTCCATCCAGCATCCTTAGCCTTTGGGGTCTCCCACACTTCATGAGAGGAACTTTGCACAGAGGAAGGTCTAATCCCATCAGTCTGAGGTAGACACTGAGATGCTCCTGTCTGTCATTGTTCTAAATGATGCTAAGGACACTGATGCCTTAAGACATCGATGACTGACATATCCAGAATTACACAGAATAGTATTGTCATCATCCATCTATAGCAAATATTGTCACCTGTTTATAGGACTAAAGAGTTTGGTGATAACCTATGTGAACACCATCAGCAGCGGGGGTCTGCCCTGCGTGGAGAATGCTGTCCTGGCTTTGTCCCAGACAGAGAATGCAGCTGCAGTGCAAAAGGCCATTGCTCACTATGACCAGCAGATGAGCCAGAAGTTGCAGCTGCCCACAGAGACCCTCCAGGAGCTGCTGGATCTGCACGGGGCCAGTGAGAAAGAAGCCACTAAGATTTTCACGGAAAATTCCTTCAAAGATATTGATCAAGTGTTCCAAATGGAATTAAGGGTAATATTTCTCTCAAATTTACCTGGATATAGATTTTGGAAGGCAAAGTGCTATGGGGAAATGAAATGGGTGTTTGGGGGAGCAATTGTTAATACATTTTGTAGCAGTAACAGCTACCTATTAATAATTACAATAAATAATAAAAAATGGATTCTCATAGACTCAAGGCTTTAAAACATTTCTCTTTTCATAAATAAACTTGTAATATTCACCTTCACTGAATTAAGAAGGAGAATAAATTAGTGTTTCTGATCAAGTGGCATGCCCACTGTCCATATACTGATCCAATATTCAAGCCAATAGATTAGAAAACTACAGCTTTAGCTATCAGAGGCAAATTAATGTTGAGCCATGTGTATTCCATGTGTCATCTCTGGCCCAGTCTATAAAAGCAGATTGCTTGCTGGGTGGTGGTGGCACACGCCTTTAATCCCAGCACTCGGGAGGCAGAGGCAGGTGGATCTCTGTGAGTTCGAGGCCAGCCTGGTCTACAAAGAGAGTTCCAAGAAAGGCGCAAAGCTACACAGAGAAACCCTGTCTCGAAAAACCAAAAAAAAAAAAAGCAGATTGCTCTGCTCTGAACTTCACTTCCAAGGAGCAAGGATGACATGAGGAAAAATGTGGCATCAGAAGAACAGATGTAGTTATAGTGAATGATTATAAGTTTTCCTTTGTTTACTTTGCTTTTGTGTTTGTTTGGTTTTGAGAAATGTTCCCAGAAATTCTAAACTCAGGCTTATTTTGCTTCTTAACATTTTTCTTTTCATTTTCACATTAAAGACCAAGCTAGAAACAAAGCAAGAGGAATTCCTTAAGAAGAATGAACAGGCATCCTCAGATCACTGCTCAGCTCTGCTTCAGGGTATTTTCAGTCCACTAGAAAAAGACGTGAAGCAGGGGATTTATTCTAAACCAGGGGGATACTGCCTTTATATCCAGAAGATAGAAGAGCTGAAGAAAAAGTACTCTGAGGAACCCAGGAAAGGGGTTCAGGTAACCAAGGTTATGTGTGTGTTCTGGGAAGCTGCTGACCTCCTTTAGACAGCAGAGTGACCACAAGCATCATTGCAAGAGTGTCATAGGTTTACACACCATGCATACACTCCTTAAACATCACATACATGAAGGTTATCATATACAGTATCATACCATACTGGATACATCCTGCTTACTCATCAGAGACAGTGCATTCACCTAACAACTGAGTTCACATTGAACAATCACATTAACCACCAGTATGACTGTCGCCCTGTGTTTCAGCTTGACTCTTTGTGTTGCAAAGGATCCAATGATGGCCCCTTAAATGAAACTTATAATTCATCAGTCTTGGGCTTCAAACTGGCTTTAAAAGATAACTGGGTGCAGTAAGATTGTCCTCTGTCCATCTGTCCATCACTCTTCTCCAGCCCCATTCTTTTCTACCTTTTTCATTTCCTTTGCTCCTTTTGTTCTCCACCCGGGCTTATGTCATTATCAAACTCTCCCCGTGTATCACCACAGCACCATTAACTCCAGTGTTAGAGCCCTAGTCTAAAAAAACAGCCTGTGTTTTCTAACATAGGCCTCCAATTAAAGATACTGTTGAGTAGGGTCCAGCCTAGACTGTGTGTCTGTTTCTGTGACTAGGACTCTAAGCACCAAGAGGTGTCACTAGAGGAAAGGGGGTAAGAGAGACAATCCTGTGGCATTCAGTCATTCCTGCTGTTAACTTCATGTTTTCTGGACTCAAAGGCTGAAGAAGCTCTGAAGCAATTTTTGCAGTCCAAGGAGGAGGTGACTAATGCAATTCTACACACAGACCAGGTTTTGACACAAAAGGAAAAGGAGATGGAAGGTGAGGCACAAATTAAGGGGACATGTGCCCACAAAAGCTGTGGAAAGTTTAAATTACTTGTAAACCTGGGACCCTAAATCAGAGCTAAAAAAAAAAAAAAAAAAAAAAACTGTGTCTTCCTGGCTGGAATCAGACATGGTAGCACAATGAAGCCTGTGAGGAAGAGGAGAGGAACTCGTGATGCACTTACACCTTCCTCCTTGCTTTCCTTCCCAGCGCAACGTGCGAAAGCTGAAGCTGCCCAGGCTACAGCCAAGTTACTAGAGGAAAGGCAACGGCAGAGTGAACAGTTGATGAAGGACAAGGAGAAGCGTCACCAGGAACACATGAAACAGCTGGCTGAGAAGATGGAGAGGGAACAGGCCCAGAAGAGGGAGGAGCAACAGAGGGCCATGGAGCACCAACTTCAGGTATTGTAATTGCATGGCCATCTATGTTTTCTTCACTTAAAAAAAATATTTTAAAGTGAGCGTGTGTGTGCGCGGGCGGGCGGGCGCGCATGTGTTCATGTGTATGCGGTATCTGTAGCGGCTGGAAGAGGGAGTCAGATACCCTGGAGCTGGAGTTTTAAATGGTTGTGAGCCACCTGACTTGGATGTCCAGAATGGAATTCCAGTCTGTAACACAGTTTACCACTGTAAAAATATCTCAGCTCCTTCCCACAGTGGAATCCCCAACGGTTGTTTTTCTGTCTTATTTAGTATGAGTTTACTCCTGAGAGTTTTTTTTATGAGGAGAGGAACTCTACGACTGTGTGATAGCCTGTCTGTCCCTCCTCTTTCCTATACTCTGCTCCCAGACTGTGTTCAGTTGGGAGTTAGATGAGGAAATTCACTGTCTTCAGTCTGGGACTCTGGTTTTCTCACCCATGATCTCACCCTGCTGCCAAGTTGTGGAAGTTTACACTAAATGTCGTCTCCCTGCACCGCTCTTCTTCCCTCTTTTTCTGCGGGAGTCCTTGTGTATATCTGTGGTGCTGCACATGGGTGCACATGGATGTGAAGGCCACAGATCTACTTCAGATCTTCCTCCATCACTCCCCACCACATTTCTTGAGACAGAGTCTTTTCACTGAACCTAGAGTTCACTGGTGGGGCTAGCCTGGCTGGCCGATTAGTTTCAAGGATGTGCCTATATCTGCCTCTCCAGCCTGGTATTACAGCACAGTCCTGTGTCTAGGTCTCCCATGGGTGCTTGGGATTCCAGCTCAGGTCCTCACGCTTATGCAGCAGGCATGTTACTGACTCATCCCCACTCCCACCCCAACCCTAGACTAAATATCTTAGACTAAGATTCAGACAGAGCCTTAGGTCAGATTTTCAGAATTCATTCTTGTGGTGCCTGTTTATATAAGATATGAGTAAGTGGATGTGTTAAGGTCTATGATGCTAAAATTTGAAGTCAAACACATAGTTAAGATTATCTACAGAGGTTATAGACAACTGATAAGGAAAAAAAATCAATACTGGTAACTTAGGTTCATCAATAGAATTGTGGGTTGTTTTTTTTTTTTTAAATGTGCCCTAGGCACAAAACAGCTTTGGCCACCAAGCTGGGCATCAAGCTAGGATGAACAAAGGACTGCCATCCACTCTGCCCGTGACTGATAGAAGAACACCACCAACAAGGTGTCTCTTTGCCCATTGCTAGAATTGTTTCTTAGCTAAAGGCACCCCCCAAGAGACATGATCACAGCTGCCCCCCAAAAAAAACATAATTTGGGGAGGAGGATAAAAAATTCAAAAAGAAAAAAAAATCATTTCTTAACGTATTAAATTTTACACATGAATAAAAACAGGTTAAGATATATAAAATTAAGGGTAAAGAAAATTTTAAGAAATTAAATAATAAAAGTAAATTATTACAAAAACTGCATAGAACATAGGAATCTACTCAGTGCAACAACTCTGTCTCCACTTGTCACTTTTTAGGAACAGGCTCGACTGCTAAGGGAAAGCTTCCAGCAGGAGATCAGAAGAGTTGAAGAAGAAAGGATGAAGCTCCAGCAAAGGAAATCAAAGCGCAAATGGTATAAGCTATAGTTCTAAGAACAGTGCCATCCTGCCACTCAAACCAGAGGTGTACAGGGTGTAGATCTGGAACAAGTGTCACTTCAATTGATAATAATTGGGTCCTGCATCAGAAAACTAAAAATCTGCAAAAATATGCAGTGTGATCATTGAAATTGTGTTTATCTTCCTATAAGATTGTGCGCCAAGGATGTCATTGACATCTCTACCACAAGAGAGGTATCAACAACACTGCTCAGAACAAAATCCCTTTTCCAGATGATCTCCAGGAGACAAATGGACACTGAGCACATTCTTAAATGGTGGCACATAATTAGAAACCAGGTTGTCCAGGGATGTGATGTATCTAAAGGACAGGGAAAGCCAGCATTACTCCTTACTGGAGACAATGTAAAGTATCCATTATATCAAAACTGCTCAACCTTTCAGCAATGGTGTGATTTGTGGACATTGGTAATGAACAACCCTATCAACACACTCCATTATGAATCAAGGCACCTGCATAGAGATCTAGAGTCCATATATATAATAGCCACAGGAAAACGGAAGAAGCCATTAGCATGACAAGGAGCTGGATCACAAGTCCATGGGCTAAAGAAGGAAATGTTCCAGTTTATGTAGATGGAAACTGTAACAGGACATTTCCAAACTCTAAAAGTTGACACTGATTATATAGAAACATGATGACAACTAAGCATAATGTATACCTTAAGTACTTATGTATAAGGTATACATAAGTATATGTTATGTATACTTCATGAATAACAATATATAACTTTAAAAATGGGCTTTAAATGATGATGGGTAATCTATAGATATCTGTGGTTGATATATTTTGCACCCCAATAAACTTATCTGGGGGTCAGAGAATAGAACAGCCATAATATTCAACATAGAAGTTAGGCGGTGGTAGCACACACACCTTTAATCCTATCACTTGGGAGGCAGAGATCCATCTGGATCTCTGTGAGTTTAAAGCCACACTGGAAACTGCCAGGCATAGTGACTCATACCTTTAATCCCAGGAAGTGAGCCTTTAATCCCAGGAAGTGATGGCAGAAAGCAGAAAGGTATATAAGGTGTGAAAACCAGGAACTAGGCCTGGTTAAGCTTTTAAACTTTTAGCAGCAGTTCAGCTGAGATTCATTCTGGATGAGGACTCAGAGACTTCCAGTCTGAGGAAACAGGATCAGCTGAGGAATTGGTGAGGTGAGGTGGGTGTGGCTTGTTCTGCTTCTCTGATTTTCCAGCATTCACCCCAATACCCAACTCCAGGTTTGTTTTATTAATAAGACCCTTTAGGATTCATGCTACAGATATCAAAGGAATTTTAACGATTTATCTTTAACTATAAACTTATGCTACTCTTTTTCCTATTACTAGCAGTTGTACTTGAAATCCTGTTGATTTTCCCCAAGCATAATAAAGGTTGTTTTCCATATTTTGACCAGCTTTTAGTATGATGGAGTATAGATAAACTATATTCCAACTACCAAAAGTGTAAGGTAGGTGGTGAACATCTTTTAAAGGGACTTAGAACTTTTTTTGAGGAGGTATGGCTCAGTGGATGAAGTACTCACAGTGCAAACATGGCATAATTCAGATCACAGCACCCACACAACAAACCAGACATGGTGGGCACACCTGTAAGCCTGGCACTGAGGTCGGGGCAGGGGTAGACAGGAGGATCCCTGGGGCTTACTAGATGGCCAGTCTAGCCAACAGATGGACTCTGAATTCTCTGAGAGACCTTGTCTCAAAAATAAGGTGGGAAGTAATTAAGAATAGAGTTATACTGTTTGTTGAAAGTGAATGCGACCAGAAATAATCACATTAAGCAAGCTAAATCAGTCTCAGAAAAACGAATGTATGTTTTCTTTAGTACATAATTGTGGGAGCCCGTTCTCGGGTTCCTCGTGGCTTTACCCAGCATGTCCGCGTAGAGGATGATTAGGACCACCGGCCTGAGTGCAGGTGTCTGGGATGGTCTGCACTTGGCTGTGCTGGGGGAGGGGGTCTTTTGCTCCACCCCTTGGCGTCTCTATAAAAACCCTGGGGCAGAGAGAGTCGGCCCGTTGGAATAGGTCCCAGGCTCTCTCGAGGCTATCCTTTATTTTCTATCTGTTTATCTCCGCGATATTCTCTGCAATAAATCCTTCTATCTAATATTTCCTGCTGCTCGCACTCAAGAAAACTCTGGGGAACTGTGGGGGTGGTGGGTAAACGCCCCACAGAATGGCGCCATGAACAGGGACTAAAAAAAGGGGTGACTAAAGACAAATGAACAGGGACTAAAGACAAAGTAATAGGGACTAAAGATAAAGGAAAATAGTTTTATTAGAGTTTTTGGCGAAAGTGCTGAGTTCAGCCCTGCCAGTGGATAAGGCATGCCGGTGTTATGGAAAAAATATATATTTTATATATATTATTGAGAGGCAGGGGTTTTATCCACGAGAGAAAAGGAAAGCGGACTGGAAGGATGTCCGATGCTGCAGCGAAATTCTCTTCTGTCAAAATTTTCTATCTTCTATCCCTTTCTCAATTTCTATCTGTGAAAAGTAAGTATAAGGATAGCATAGTAATATAGTTTAGGAAAAACTTAGAAGTGTAAGATTGTGTAGGAAAAAATAAGTAAGGCAACTAGACAGAAAAACTCTACAATTTTCTAACTTTGGGGGCTATGAATGCAAACTGGGGGGAAAATCTTTCTTTGGGCTTTTTGGGTAGTAAAAAAGCTCTTCTTTGAGCTTATGGGGAAGAAAAAGTTTCCGATGGAAGCTTTTGACCTGGGGACAGCTGAAATGCTAAGTCCAAGGGGCAGGAGAAAGTAACTTCTCCCTGAGGCAATAATGGGGGGTAAAAAGCCAAAAAGTTTAAAGTTGGGAAGTTTGGGGAAAAGTTGGTCTTTCTCTCTTGGGGAAAAAAAATCTTTCTCTTAAACTAAAAGCTTTTCTTGGAAAATTTGGGGGAAAAAAACTCTCTAAAAAGCCTTCATCTTTCTCAAGAGCTCTCAAACTTAAAAACTAAAGCCTTTCAGAACTCACTCTCAGAAGGACAAAAATTAGAATCACCTGAAGATATTAGTATGGGGACCACCTGTGAGTAGCTCTAAGGGAAAACAACAAACTTCTTAAGACAGCAAAACCTAAGTTCTTTCAAGCTTTAAAAATCCTCCCTGCAATGCAGGAGGCAGGGACAAGTTCCTAAACTCTTCTAAGCTCTGTCTCTTCAAGCCAGTAAAAGACAGTGGGTCAGAGTACCCTGAGGGAAATGCTTGGGAGAGTGTGGATAAAGAGCTACAGAGAGCCCAATAGGGCAGGAAACTTTACCTGAGAAAAGCAAAAATGCCAAGCTTTTCAGTTACAGCCGAGTTGAGGCATCAAGGGTTTTGTTTGAGTTTTTCAGAAAGAAAAGGTGCTCCTAATCGTCCTAATGCAAAGATCCCCTGAAGCATTGTATCCTCGCTTCTGACCAAAAACCCAGAGGTGACTGGCCAGCGTCTCTGAGTTGGAGTGCATTTCGGGGATACTAGGGTTCCTGCAGTTGTAAACTTCCTGGAGCACAGAGCTGAGGCAGGAAGGTGCAGGACCCAGGGGAAGATTGCCAATGAACAAACAAAGCTAAAGCCGGTGGGAACGGCACAGTTGTCTACTTTCCTACAAGTCCCGGGTTGATAGGTCCACAGCTGCAAAAAGAAATCTGAGAAAAAGCTTTCCTATCAGAGTAAGGACCTTTCTGGGAAAACAGTAAAGCTGAACTGTGTCTAAAGCAGTCATGCTGCTGAGTCAGAATGCTGTCTGGGGAAAGAGCCCAAGCCAGGGCAGAACAGAACTATCCAGGAGTAAAGCTTTCTTTTCTGTCAGAGAAAGCACCTCTTTGAGAAAAGCTTTGTTTCAACTGACTCCCTGAGATGAGGGAGTGTAGCCCTGAGCGGTGATTGCCTCTGGCATAAGCTCTGTCCTTGAGCACCCAGACAAGCAAACACAACCCACTGGGGGACTGGGCCAGGTGAAGGCCTGATGAGGCAAAAAAAACTGTTCTAATGGGAGTTTAGAAATGGCAAAAACCTCCTGTTAGATTTTCAGTCTGTATGCAAACCACACAGACCCAGAAAACAAATGGACAAAAAGCCCCTACCTTCAGGAGCAGGGAAAGCCACCACTGTAGTGTCGGAAACTGTTTCTGAGGTAGAGGGGATAAATTGAGACCAAACTGGGATCTGTCTGGGAGAAAGACTCTGAAGAAACAGAATGGACATAATCCTCCCCAGAAAATATATGACCTGAAAAAGCTGCTAGAATTTGAGGCAGATTTGGAGGGAGAAAAAAAAAGCCCCTACCTCCAAAGGCAGCTAGCAGAGGTACAGAGCCTCAGATAGCTGAAGCTCTGCATCTGGGGAAGGAAGGAACAAGCAAAATGAGACAGATTAGTGGGAGAAAATCTCTCCGAAGGAGCTATGGAAAAACTGTTGTGAATGTCTTAGCCAGTCAGTGAAAAACAAACACAAGGCCCTAGGAAAGTTGCTATCAGAAATGCCAGCCTCAATGCCGGCTAATGAGGCAGGTGCAGTTCTGATCCGAGGCCAGTGTCAAATGAAGGAGAGACCAGAAACCTCCCAATGTCCCATAGCTGAAAATGTAAAATGCTTGTTCAAATCTCCCGTTGCAAAAGCAAAAAACTTTGTTCAAACCTCCCGGGCAAGAATTTGTAAGCAAGTCTGGTAAAAGTGAACCAGTTGACTCTCAGACCCGAAAAGAACTATGGGAAATGACTGATGGGAAATGATATAAGGAAAAGATATGGGACTGATTATTATGGACTGATATAAGGGAAATGCATTCTGGGAAAGGTAGTTTTTCCGCTAAAGATGGCGACATTGTTCTGAAACTTTTGTAAGCTCGAAAATAGGTTCATGGTAAACTTAAAATATAGCTTTTTAAAAGAATAAGGAGGAAAATCGTCTGAGTTTAAGTGTCAGTTCCAATGAAAAATTGAAAGGATACGGAACTAGGTGCTTCGAGGTTTGGGGCTCCTTTGGTAAAATGCCTTACTTACCCTAATAGCTGTGTAAAATTTTTACGGCAGTTGGATGACAAAAAGCTACCTTTAAGAGCAAACAAGCCACTTTAAAATCCTTAAGAAAGCAAGAGAGAGCAGTTTATACACTGAACGTTGTCTAAGATATGAAGAAACTTATGTGAAATTAAAAATTATTTACCTCTTGAACAAACAGCCTGCAACGAGTGATTCCTTTGCAAATCTAATTAAGGGGATAATAAACAGGCATTCAAAAAGAAATGACTGCTTTATAGATGGGAAACAAACTTCAGAAAATCTAGCTGTCTTACAAAAGAGTTGCTTCACCTGAAAGTTCCTTATAAGAAATCAATGCTAAATATTACAGCTGCTAATAATATCAGGAGTTAAAGCTAATGAAGTGAAAATACTAAATCATAAAAATGCTTTTTCTCGGAGTAAGCTAATAAAGGATATGTTTCATGAAAGAACATCTATGTTCTTAACTCTTTTGAATAGTAACAGTTTTGGTGAAAATATTGGAACTAACAACAACCAAGTCAAAATGTTTCAACAAATTGAAGACGCTATTCCACAAAAGAAAGCTGCCATGCTTTGTGGGCCATATTAGAGCTCACTCCAATCTTCCTGGTCCTTTAGCTGAGAGTAATGCGAAATGGAAAGATCCCTGCTCGGGATTATGGAAGGGTCCCGATCCTGTGTTAATATGGGGTTGAGGACATGTTTGTGTTTTTTCACAAGAGGAGAATGAAGCTCGGTGGTTACCGGAACGTTTCCCTAAGGAGCGTGGAACTAAGAAAGGTCAGCTCCAATGATGTTTCTATAAAGAAACCAGAAGGAAAGTGGCTCGATCAGTGTTTCTGAGGTTTTGTCACTGGTTAATGCAAACAGTGCGGAAATGGAGTTCAGAGCTGTGCCGCTTTTGGCTTTACTAGCTCCTTTGGAAAAATACTTTATATCACCTAATAGCTGTGCAGTATTTGGCGAAGAGCTTTACAGCAGCTAAATACGGTAATTTCACCCTCAGTGTGAAGTGAAATTTTTCCTTAGAACAAACCAAAAGTACTGCTGTAATAGAAACGTTTGTCTGAATTGAAGCACTTAGGGGAACTATTATGAATTTGGGTGAAGGGACAGCCTCTAGTTAAAAACCGTTTACCGCTGACAGTGCATCTCTGCCGGTCCGGAACGGCTGAGAGAACTGGCAACTTTGGAGTGTGGCTTCGTCCCGAAGATGTTACAGTCCCCTAGCAACAACTATCACAATTCTATAACAACAACACTCACTAAATTCCAGTGTTGTATAGCAAAGCTGACTATAACTTCTAAACTTTAGAAATGATGTACGTACTTCCTGTCTAGTTAAGAGAATCTAATAGAGATAGTGATAATAATTAAGAGTAAGAAATAGAAAAAGATGAAAATAAGATGTGAGTTTGTAGAAATTATTCTGTCTTGTTAGATCTTGTTAAAGAAATCTTTAGGTGTTTGCTAAGTTAAATATATGCTAATGGTAGCCCTGTATAAGTTTGTAAAATAGATCTATAGAGTTCCTTTAAGAATATAAGCTTGCAAGAAGTATCTAATGTAATCTTAAGACATATAGTAATAAGCTTGTAAGAAGATGCTAGTTGTAAATGTAAGTTTAAATAAGAATAAGATGGAATGAATATAAGAAATATATAAGTAATAAGAAATATATTTGCTAAAGTAGTTCTATAGTTTCCTTAAGGAGTATAAATAAGTAGATGATAATGTTATATGTGAGTTTGTAAAAACATGTAAATGTTGAATGTGAGTCTAAATGCTTTGCAAAAAATTATGTGAGTTTGTAAAAAAGTGTAAATGTTAAGTGTGAGTCTATGCTTAATGTATATGATGAAAAAACCTGAGATCTAGAAGTTAGTGTCCTAGAAGACTGCAAAGTAGGCAGTCTGAGCAGTTTTCAAAAGTTCCAGAAGC